AAACAACCCGATTCTGAAGCACTTTTTTCAGAAATAGAAAGCACCAAAACCTATTCAAGTCCTTTTTAGGTCACCTTGAAAAGCAGGAGATAACCAGGTAATCCCCTGACTGACTTTCTAAAGGTTGCACAGCACATACTTCTATATTACAAGTGAAGACCAACAGTCACTAATACCTAATCCTCTACTTTAATCACTGAAAACAGGGTCAGGACACTCAAGTAGTGCATATATAGTACTGATTTATAGATGCGCACACCATATAGAGACTTTTGACCTTCAAAAGAAAGCTGGCCAATATTTCTGTAGTTGGGAGTGATCCACTTTGTGATGGAGCTGCCCACAGGAAAATAAGCTAAATTTTGGAAAATTAAAAAAATGGGGAGAGGAGAAGAGCAAAAGAATGAATTTCTGGTCTAGATTTCTTCATTCAACTTAGGAAAATCAGTAAATTTCAGGTACTAAAACTGACACTTATTTGGTGTTCTTTTTTAAAGCACATGTATTTTAAAGTGTCATCATATGTATTTTAAAGTTTCTCCATGATCTAACAGCTTACAGAATCAAATCTTGCCTTTCCCCAACCACCATTTCAGGCATTTTAACATACACCAAATAGTTCAAGCTACTTTAAAATCTGGCTAAAGAGTCTAAACTCTGCACGCTATAATATATAAACTGTTTTTGCAGAAACGCCTCTTTGTTTTTCTTCATGATCTACTAAGATACTATCACAACAGATGTCTCTGGAGTAGAAAGAGTGCACGCTGGGAGGTGGTAGGAAGGTTTTCTCCCAAGGAAATGTCATCAGCATTCAGAGAAAATTTTCACTTGTTCAGAATGAAAGTTTAATTTCCCCCTTTTGCTTAAATTTAGCACCATGCTGGCAGTTATTGAGAAGAAGCCAGCCAAAGTAAGATCACTTATTGTTTGTTGTAAAACATGATATGGAAGGCCTCATCAAAATGGAAGAGAGGAGAGATAAAAATTCTAAGAATAACAGTATTACAGTAATACTAGCAGATAAGACTAACGTTTCCATTTGAAACTTCAGATGAAAGGTGAATCCTCAGTTTCTCTTTGTTGGTATTTATGAAAAGACAATTATTAGTTTTCTCTAGAAATATCTAAACTTAATAATATAATTTTGTATAACTACAGAATCCACACCCCTTCTCCTTTCCTGGCTGCCAATGTTCATGTCACACAAAGTTAGGATTTCCCCATCTCAAGCCCTTTTTTTTTTGGTTAATTTCATTTATTTTCCAACTTATACTACTCTTTCAATGATAGGAAATAGTTTTCAATTAGTCATTCAGAAGCTAAGGTCATCTTGAGCAAATTCTGCCCTCAACCAAAGACAAAATGGAAGTGCAGAACAGCAAGAGGTGGCAGTAAACGGATAATAAGGGAATGCTGAGTGGCATGTTCTGAAGTGTAATTACCTCTGAGAAGTATAGAACTTGGGGAGAAAAAAATGCAGTGTTGTTCCTTGAAGTATTAGATGTTGCAACTATTTATTATTTATCAATTTGTTAATGTTGATTTGCAATCTGCTAGATGACTGCGAAAGAGATTATTGATACAGCATATATTGCACAAATACAGCCATTCTAGAGAGAGGGCTCAAGAGGGAGAAGAAGGGGATGCTCAGCTCCGTGCCAGCTGTCCAGCGTTCACAGCATCTGTCTGCTGCCATGGCTGAAAGTGTTCCTAGCCTGAAATGGCAAGCGTTTATACTGCAGATCAAGCATTATTCCAGCTTTTGTCTGAGGGGCTGCTTCTCCAGGAGGGCAGGTGGCAGTTCTCTGTCAACCTGCTTGGTGTCTGCTCAAACGGAATCCAGTTGAACAAGCACCAGACAGACAGAAGTATGGAATCATTCTGGGCACAGCGTGTTACTAGAGCTCTGTGAGTTAGAGAAGAAAGGAAAAAAAAAAAAAAAAAGTGAATTTCCACTTCATCTCTCGATTCAGATGGTTTTCTCTTCGTGAAACAAAGAAAAAGAGAGAAAGAGTTTTAAAAAATTTTGCGTGTGAATAGTATCTAGAAATGCTAGGAAAGTCCCTAATAGCTGGCATGTTTTTGTGGGGGATTTTAAAACATCCCGCTGTCAGAAGATTTTTGAAGTGCGTTTTCTACCCAAATGCACGTTCCAGCTCCAAGAGAGGATTTTTATTTCTTCTTGACTTTTTAAAATAGCTTTTGTTTGACTCCTTTTTTTTGTCAAAGGGCAAAGTCAAAAGGCAACCATCAACCCTCAGAGTTCTGTTGGGCGGTGGTAAGCTGGGACTAAACATTCCTCAAGCTTTGTAGCTTCGGGTAGCCTGCAGATACCCAACATGTGGCACGGTCCTCATATACTAGCCATCTGTGTGCAAGTTGGCGCCCTGTTTTACCAGCAAAAAATAACAGCAACAAGCAGAAATTAACAGACGTTAACTGAGGAATTTATACGTACATCAGTGGATTTACACCAGCTGCAGATTTCTCACCACAGCATTCATTCTAAGCCTTATTAGAAGTAGGACTTTTTTTTCCTCTAATTAAACTAAGGAGTCAGACAGGCACCGGACTGGCACAAGACAGGGGCTGGCACTGCACAGCCATGAGCATGACCATCCTTTGCAGCAATTAATTTGCTCCGGCTGTTGCTGCTGAACCCTCCTGTTACCTTCCTTCTCTGTGACACTCCACTCCACTCTTCATCTTTTGCAGATAGATCATAGCCAGTTTCCCACGTTCCCATATTCCCTTCCCAAAGTTACACCCTGATGCTACACAGAAAAAACTTGGGAATATGCTCCCTAAAGGAGACTGTGGGTATACTCCTGGACCTGAAGTTCAGCTGTGCTGAAGGGAGAGAGCAGTGAGAACATGGTTACTACCCTCACAGCCAAGCGCATCAGAAGCTGGCAGAGAGACAGGAGTAAAGGCAGATCTTTGGCCCTGCCATTTGATGCATGCAGATAGATCGTAGCCAGTTTCCCACATTCCCATATTCCCTTCCCAAAGTTACACCATGATGCTACACAGAATAAACTTGGGAATATGCTGCCTGAAGGAGACTGTGGGTATGTTCCTGGACATGAGGTTCAGCTGTGCTGAAGGAAGAGTGCAGTGAGAACATAGTTACTACCCTCACAGCCAAGGGCATCAGAAGCTGGCAGAGAGAAAGGAGTATAGGCAGATCTTTGGCCCTGCCATTTGATGCAGAAATCAGCAGTGTCCTCTTAATGTTAAATCCCCCCGCGCCGCCCAGCAAGGAGCTGGCAGGGAGGGAGTGCTCAGTGTTTCCTCTGAGATACAGCGTGTCCTGTGGTAGAATTGCTCACCACTCCTTTTTTCCAGAGAAACTCCCTAAAATCACGGTCTAGTTCATCTTTCCCATTCCCATCATCCCATTCCCATTTCCAATTCCCATTCCCAATCATCTATTCCAATCAACAGATGATTGCTGGAGCAAAGCACTGCCTTGAACTGCTTTTAAAGAGATCAAAGGAGGTACAGCCCTAGAACTATTTTGGATGTGCACTGCCTGTCCTGAGAAAACTTCAGAAACAACAGAAATGTTAGAAAGCTTAGTTTAATTGCCAACAGTACCATGGCAATCAAAGGGAACATTTGGTACATCAGTTACTTAGTTTTAAGAGTCCTGTGTCTTTCACCTTAGTCTCTGCCTGGAACCAGAATATAACCAACAGCATGGTATTTAACACTAAGCAGCTCAAACCAAGTCTCCATTATCAAAATTAACATTTTAAATATAATAATTTTTTACCTTGTAATTTAAGTCAAAACCTATTATGAAAAAATCTTTCAGAATACTTAGATTTCATGCAAAAGCACCCAGGAGATGATCCAGTTTTGTCTGTCTGGTAAAAGGTGTTAGAAATACATGTTCACTGTCATAGTAATGGTTGGAATATAGAAGCAGCATGTTCACATTTCTATCAGATGCGTTCACACCCTTGTTTCTACTACAACAATTGCTATGAGATATCAAAGGAAAATACAGCATCAATTTAAGTATGTATAAACTCATTGTGCCACATTCAGAGAAAGCAAGAATAAATGAAGTCCTGAATGGCAGCAAAATATGATGAGAGTAAAAACTAATCAGAAAGAGGGGAAAACAGTACAAAAGTGGAAACCGCACAGGAAAAGAAATGAGCTGGATAAATTCTGATGAGTAGCTGAAAACTGTATGAGCACTGAATAAAGGGCATTTGAATGAACAATATGTGAATACTGAATAAAAGGTATGAAGGATATTGAGACACACTGAACAAATACATCTCTATGAAAGATGCTGCTTGAAAGTACTCAATCATTCCAATTTGATAAATACAGCACAAAACAGTGCTTCTTCAAATTGTGCCCAGTCCTCAGTCATGCATCAGCAATTCTGCACCTTGTTAACGGTGATGTAAAAATAGTGACATTTTTTGGTTCTTTGGCTTGAGCCAAGAATTGCTTCTTCCTTCATTTTAGGCTCACTATTTGTTGAAGGAGAAAAATTGTTCACAGACATTAAAATTTAAGTCTTCTGCTTTTTGCTGAGGAGGCTTTTCTGCTTGCATCATTACCGTATTGATATGCTTACAACTTTTTGTTGGCAGAAGTGTTACATGCTAACAGCAACATCCTATTGAAAATGGAGGACGTGATAAAATCATGCACAGAATAGGCTGACAGGAAAGCCCTTTCAAAACAGCTGTGTTAGCAGTGGAGCAATTTGATCTTCAAATGATGTACATCTCAGAGTTGTATCTTTATGATCTCTGAGGAACATCGTTAAGAATATTTTATGACAATGGCACTAACTGATGCTGCACTGCAAGGCTGAACCAGCACTAGCAAAGGTTGAGAACAGTAGGGCAGTCTTCTCCACCCACACCAAGCTGTAGCTTACAGACACTGAAACACATTGTTTCTGATTTCCAGAGGGACACCCTGAATTCTGTATTTTTAAAAGTTGTATTTACTTGTGCTTGCAGGGCAAATATCACGGTAATCCCATGCATATAGCGGTAATCATCTCAAACTGTTTACGAGAAGAAAGAAGAATATTGGCTGCAGCTAGCATGCCTGTGCAGGTAATGAATGACTTTTCATTAATCTGCTCCATGGTAATCTGCTCATGTGCTTTTAGGACCAAATCCTGCCCTCTCATTCCACTAGCGGAATTTGGATGCACTAGGGGTTGCCAAATGTTGTCCTTCAAACTCACGTTTGTACTTCATTAGTGGCTCCACTGCTACAAACATTGCTATAAGTGACTTCTGTGTCACAGCTAATCTTCAAAAACTTAATCTGTGGGAAAGGATTTAAAGAGATTATTCTTTGCAAAACAGATGTCTGTATTTTAAATTATGTAATGCATTAATTCATTAATTATGCAATACAAAAGACATTCCATCTGATATGTTGCAAGGCACTGATAGTTTTGATGTCATTTGAAGAAAGAAACTTAAAAATTACATATAAAACTAATTTTGGGGAAATTGTTACACCACTAAAACCCCGATAAATGTCAAATGCGTTCTTTTTAATCATCTGTGGATGCAATACGTGTTCTTATACTAGTATTGTGATGTTGGTCTTTTTCAGAAATCTAACAATCTGTGTGTCAGTTTCTTTAATTTACTAGGTGTTTAGTGTTTGCAGTATACTCACCTTTTTGGATTTCAAAGTTAAACCAGCATGTTTTTCAAATTAACTAAAGGAACTACACTAAATAGATTGTCTGTCTACACCAGGCTCCAGCTGGTTGAAGATCAGCTTCTGAATTCCCTCTCTATGCTAGAACTTGCAGTACAGTTACTATCACTCATTATTATTACTCATCCATCCATTATATGTTCAATGTGTTCCAGGGGCCACTGGAAAAGTCTCTGCAGAACTCTGTGGTTTCAGAACGACAACGAAATGTAGAACACAAAGTGTCAGCCATCAAGAACAGCGCTCAGGTATTTTTTGTCCTGTTTGTCATTTATGCAGCCATGATTTTCATACAGACATACCCAAACTATTTTTAAGCTGGGTAGCACAAATACTTTTGTTAACAAGCTGTGCCAATAATTTTTTATTATTCTGAGGACCTTAGCCCAGACTAACTACTGGGAACACACCTGGATCCTCAGGTTTTTACAGCTGCTCTAGGTTCAGTGTGAGAGCTACCTATTTTAAAGCTATCATACTCATCCCTATGCGAGTTGCAGGCAGACCACTGAGTGCAATAAGAACATACCTACCATCTCTAAAGAGATGTGAGGTTCAGTACGTGTGTTTCTGCAACTTCACCTCTTTTAGTTGGGTGAGCAGTAGCTAGCCTTCATGACCTCTAAGTCACATACCAAGATCTTTGTAAAGCTGAAGCCTACGTGGCATAATGATGTGTTTTGGAGACGTGAGGGGAGAAGACCATTCGGAGCAGATGGTAACAATTCTCCAGGAGTTTCTTATAGCGTTGCAGGGTAGACCTGGGCTGAGACAAATCTTTAGCTATGTCCCATAGAGACCTTGAAAGCTCAGTCAGAAGAGCTGCCTGTTCAGTTCAGGGCAGGATAGGATTCAGATTACCTATGGCCTTTTTGCTATCCCAGCCCAACTTTCAGCTTTGCAGCAGTCTCAGTGTAGAAGTTACATTTGAAATACTCGTCCTTATGCCATTCAAAAGCATCACTTTTGGTATACTGGAAAGATGTCCTAGTATTATTCTCTCATTACTGTCTCTCTACATGGGGAAGAAGAGTTAGAGAGATGTAACCCTTAAAAGGATAAAGCTAGATTTAGAAGAAGAATGTGATACTAGATCTCTATCTATGTATAAAGTTATAAGATAAGAATTACACAGCAAAAGCAGACAAAGCTGCAACCCAGTAGCCTATCGTTGCTGCTCCTTCTTCCTGCATGGAGAAGCACAAGACACCCTTGAAATGCCAGTGAAAATGAAAACAGTTTCTAGATACAAGGTTTTTGCAGTGGGTAATGAAGTTGAATGTGGAAATCAGTGAGTTCCTTGTGTGTGTAATTTCATACCTTACAAATATAATTTAAAAGTTTAGCCTCCGAACTAAAAAGGAAACCAAACTGGCTAATTCTGTGTGTCCTAATTTAGCAAACGAGTGTAGGTATTCTCACAGACACTTATAGTGCATATCTCAGGAAACCAAAAAGAATTGTTTATGAGTTGTTGGCAGAATCGAGGCTTCCTATACACAGCACAGAAACAGACCGTTGAAGTAAAACAGATGATTTGCTACAGTTTTATTTTCCTTCTTTTGTTGTGCCTTTTTTTGAATTACCATTGTTTGGTTACTAGAAAACACCTTCTAAAATTTTTGTGGTACATATGAAAGCAAAGCTTTGCAAAAAGCCAAAGCAGCAAAAATGTTTATTTTCATTACCCAAATTCTTACGTAATTATCTAAATAAAGTCTCTGGGCTCTGCTCCTGTCTTTGGCTCCACTCATCTTGGCTTTGCATATTCCATTCCAATTCCCATTGAAGTCAATGAAAAATTATCCATTTGCCCTGCTTTAAAGTTCCAAGAAGCGAGTTATATTATTGGCGTAACAATTTCAACTTAGCTCAGGCTAAATGCAAGCATTCCTACTTTCCACTACATCATTGAACTAGTAAACAAGAAGTGGTTAAGCTCTATCAGCTGTGGGAGAGAGGATAATAACTGGCTTTCTGAACAACTGAAATAAATCTGTAGTTATAAATGTGCATTTTAAAATATATTGTCTTTTTTAAAATTTGCAAGTTAGTAAACCAGAGTTCCCAGAACTGCTTAGGGATTTTCCAATGATAGGAAAGGGAAATACTACATTATGCATTTGTCCATTACCAAACAAATTTGTTTTTATGTCACTGTGAACACTCAAATAATTTTACTTTTTTTTCCCCTGGGAAAGATGACTGACCAAGATGTCAAATACTTGGAAGACTTGCAAGAGGAATTTGACTTCAGGTATAAAACAATACAAAGCTTAGGTAAGAGTTTTTATAATAATTTTTAGATTCTCTAGGCAATGGCTGATTGTACAGCTAGACCACAGTATCAGATTTTTTTTGTGCATTACCCAGATAATATATGTAAACACAAAAAAAATGGATTTTTAGTTTATATAAAGTTATAGTCTTGGAACATAACGACTCTTTTGGGGTTGAGAGGGTAGACAGGATCTCGTTGAGCAAGTATAGTTATTTTCTGTAGATAATATGCATAAAGGCATGAAAAGTAGTAATTTTCTTAATTTAAAGAACCTATTTTTCAATTTCCTCACCTTTCATGTGGCCCTTTCCTTGGCAGGGCCAAGGATATGGAAGAGCCTGTTATTTCCCCAGAGGAGAGTTGTAAAAAACTGATTTTTTTAGCCTCTAACTTGGCTTTCTGTTCTTTTTTGACCACAGTGGTGATAACCAGCTGGTAAGCACTCTGAATGCATGTTTGACCAGCCTGTGATGGTTGAGATCTGCACACGGCAGCAGTCCTTGCATGATCTTTTTCAGAAAAGAAACTGAGGTCCACTTGTGTCTGCTCAGATATCTTCATATTATCTCCCATTGAACATGCAAAGATATTGGGCTTGAAATGTCTGAATTCTTACGCATGTCAATCCTGTATGTTTAAGGTTGGATATGGCCAGGTAATCAGAAGAGATGACATTGCCATGGTTTAATGAGTTGTTAATCAGCAGGCCAATCATAATTATTGACCACACAGATGACCAAAGCCTGCCTCACTTGCAAAATAAAACACGCTTACATAAATTACTTTCAGGGCTTAAAATTTCACTGTGTCAACAAGTGCTCTCCACCAGCATGGCCAGCTTGCAGCACCTCACACTGTGTGAGCAATTGCTGTGGCTGAGCTGACAATCAGTTGCTTGTCTGCCTCTATTGAAACATCTGCCCTAACGTAATGGGAAGACGTCAATCCAGAGCTTAGCAGAGACACAGTTGGCACCAATTTCTTTTTTGAAGGCAGCATGAAAGATGCAAGAAGAGCTACAGGTAGGGGAAGGTGAAGGTGGGGGAAAGAGCTCGGGGAAGCCTGAAATTAATGCATGCTCCAGAGAAGGAAAAAAAGTTGAAGAGAGGGGGGAAATACGCAGTAATCAGTAATCCTGGCTGCTGAAATCCCCACAGCGATGAACGCTTTATCTCTGTTTCAAATGCCTAACCTCCATTCTCTCAGCCAGACTCATAATTCACATCCAAAGAGCTTTAGCCTAACTGCTGACACCACAAGCATATTTCAGTAGTGCACAAATCAGTCATTGATCCAAACCAGATGTAGAGAATGCACATGACTATGCACATGAATAAGAAATTTATAGATTCTAGGTATCATCTCTATGTTTTCTATCTTTTCCTGTTCCACAAACACATCTAAAGAGTGAAGTCATAAAACCTTATCTTAAATTTGTACTAAAGTTAGTCCATTCAAATAAAACACACTATTACATAACCTCCAGCCGCCTGCAGTTCACTTTTCGGTAGTTCACGCTGCAGTCTGGTCGTGGTTTTTTCCCCTTCCTCCCCTTATAAACACGCACATGTACCCACACAGGCATTTATACCGACTTTCTCATTCCCCTGCAGAGCAGAGCGACAAAAACAGCGCCCTCATTAAACAGGAAATGTTGGCGTTGCAGGCGATGCTCAACACTTTAGACTACAAGAGAAAGGTTAGTGACATGTTTTGGCATTTGTGGTTCGTTTGCTTTCTTTCTCCCCTTATTCCCACATCGAATACTCAAATGCGTGTGCGTGGATTTCTTAACTCTCTTCTCAGAAGAACAGGCAAATAACAGCAGTTACAAATTGGCAAAAGGTTTTGGGTGGGTGCAGGTGATTTTGTTAAGAAATTGGTGATTAAGTAATGCCTCAATCAAGGATATGGTTCTGCACGCCTTAGTAGGGAGGTGAGGGCATCACTTCACAGAACCTCTTACGTACTGTACGAAATGGGTAACTTAGTTGGCAATATATACCCTTTACAGTAAGCAAAAAGTGTTCAAAGTAAATGTAATCTAATAATTGCAAAAAAACCCCAAACCAAACCAACCACACAAAAAACTCAAAAAACCCACCAATGGTACCTCGCTCTGCTCAGTGACTGAAACTTGCAAGTATGGCAAATATTCCCTGACCACTTCTTTGCTAGCACAGAAAACAGTACATTTAGGCAATTTGTTTGAGTCCCTGTACTTTTCACAGCTAAAAGCAAGGAAGCAAGCAAAAAACCCCAGAGCACTGGATATGATACAAAACAAAAGGAGGACTTCTTGACCTTGACAGTACTTGTAAATGTCAACTTCTTGGAGGTGTTATGCCCACAAAGAATGCAACAATCCTCCTTCCCACCCCCAAACCCAGAAGCTTTACTGAGGAGGGGTTCATAGAGATTTAGGATTAGTTTCAAGTACAACGGGTGACCGGTCCAATCACCTCTAAATTATAGAGACTACAGCGAAGGGGCTAAATACAGTTACTTTCAAAGTAACTGAAAGAAATGTAATTAGCACTTTTATGATAATCGCTGAATTTTGTGGCTGTTCCCCGTGGTCAGTTTGTGACATCTTTCCTATTTTACAGGAAGTGCTCAGTAAAATAGGGCGTGTGATTCATGAAATCGATATGCTTATGAGCAACATGCTGACTGAAGAGCTGCTGGACTGGAAGAGACGGCAGCAGATTGCCTGCATTGGGGGTCCTCTCCATGGTGGGCTTGATCAGCTCCAGAACTGGTAAACTTGCCTTGAGCTTGTATTTCCACTGAAAACCACAGGAAGTCTGCTGCACATGAAATGATCTTTCCTTTAGATCAGTTACCTTGCAACAGCAGCAAATTAATTAGCAGCTAAGCAAGTAAATAACAAAAATACAATTTGTTTTGGTGGGCAACATTTGCTGTTCAGAATTAATAATGTAACAGTAAACTGCTGAGCCCGAGCCATGGCAGTGGCTCATTTTTTTGGTTTGTCAGTTGTTCCAGATACATGATACGTACCCTCTCGGGAGTTTTGCTTGAGTAAGAACCGTGCTGACCGAGTTTGTCACTGAGGACAGTGGGAGTTTTGTCTAGGCAGGAGTCGGGTAGACACTTTATGCTTTGACTCACTAGGTACATCACCCCTCCAGATTTCAAACTACACAGGAATTGAATGGCAGTAGTCTCTGTGGTGGTAACTCTAACGGTGATTACAAATTAAAAAAAAAAAAATCTAAAAAGCATTATATTTAAAAAGATAATGCAGCCAGAGAATGTCAATGTCCTGATCATTTCTCTCCCATCAAACTTCTCTTCTGGAGAAAATGAAGTAAAGAATAAGAATTAAAAAGGAGGGAAAACAACCAAGAACCTTTTTAGATTTAAGGGGAAAGTAGTGTTTGCCTTTTTTCTTTTTTTTCCACTGAAGTATTTTTTTTTTCCCCAAGGGAGACGTTAAAAATAGCTAAAAGATGTGATTTTATGCACACGTACCCTATTAAACTGCTAGCAAATGTGTTTGGATTTCATTTTCCTTATTTTTTTTACATTTCTGAGAAATACCATTCCTCAGTCTTTGTAACTTTATTTTATATAAATATTAACCAACTTGGTCTCTTGCTTAACGAACTTGATCTCTTTCTATGACCATGTGACCCGCTTTCTCGATGCGGGGAAGGCTGTGGATGTTGTCTACCTGGACTTTGGTAAGGCCTTTGACCCCGTCCCCCATGGCGTTCTCCTGGAGAAACTGGCGAATCATGGCATACAGAAGTATACCCTTCACTGGATAAAAAACTGGCTGGGTGGCTGTGCCCAGTGAGTTGTGATTAATGGGGTGAAATCCAGTTGGCAGCCGGTCACCAATAGTGTCCCTCAGGGCTCAGTTTTGTGGTGGTTGTTTTAAGGTTGGACTCAATCTCCGAGGTCCCTTCCAACCATGGTGATTCTGTGTGATTATTCTTTTAAAGAGTACATTTTGCAAAACCACTAAGCTGTAGGAAAGAACTAAAATTGGCACAAGTGTTGTGCATGTAAAACATCAGATCTGTGTAAATATTTCTTCTAAATTATCACAGGCAGCGTTGCGTTGCTATTGGTGAGGCCCATTGCAAAAATATTTATCTCTAAAAATAAAGTAGGAAATTTTGCCTGATGTATTTATATACTCCTGTAAACAAAAGATGAAGGCACGAGTTTGGATAAAGCTAGAAAGCACCAATCGGTGCTGATTCTGATATCCCTAAGCCAGAACTTCAGTAGCCATTTTCTTTTAAGCAGCCGTTTACGTGAAAGATTGCAAACTAATCTTTTGTCTTGCTGTAGCTTTACGCTGTTGGCAGAGAGTCTTTTTCAAGTTAGAAGGCAACTAGAAAAATTGGAGGAGCTGTTGACCAGGCTAACTTACGATGGGGATCCTATCCCAGTGCAAAGACCTCAGCTGCTGGAAAAAGTCAACTTTCTGCTCTACAATCTTTTCCGGAAGTGCGTAAGCCATTGTCAATGTACATAACTTTGCTTGAACTGCCACAAATTTATTGGCAACAATGAGACCATGTTGTTAAGAAGAAAAAAAAAAAAAAAAACCAAAATGTTTGAGTCTCTGAGGATCTTAAAGACTGAGTTTCCAATATTAGAAGTATGTACAGCTGTCACCAAAATTCCAGAAGTTGAAGGCACCAGGCAGCTTCTCACATATAGTAGTTAAGGGTTTGTGGTCAAGTTCTGACTCTAGGGGAACACAAAAAATCCACTTATTTCAGTAGGAGTCATAGACATACTGCTGAGAAAAGGTTGTGGGTTTGGGGTTTTGTTTGGGTTTTTTTTTTTTTTTAAGTAAAGTGGCAGGTGCTAATTTGTTCTTTGTTCTTCCTCTTCCCCACCAACACATTCTGTTAATATATAAAATATTATCATCTTCCTTTTGCCTTTTGTACTGGCTATATGAGAGATATACCACAAGTGACTATCTGAAAGCAAAACATGGTCAGGTTTTTTTCTGTAAAAAAAAATTTGAAAAGATAAAATGATTGTTTAATTTCATTGAAGCCAGGCACAGTGTATTTTCACACCGTTTTATGGTTCTGATAAAAGTCTTGCTCTTTCAGACTTCTATCAGCCTGGAATTTTAGGACTATGGAATTCATTTTGGTTTGATTTTTAATGTATTCCAAATATCTGTCTCTAACTTACAGTAAGTTAGACCACTGGATGATTTTGAGAACTGAGAGTTGGAATACATACCTGACACTTCAGCTTCTGTAGAGGAATAAGTCTCTAAGAGATACCAGCATTTTTTTCCTCCCCCCCGCCCCAATACAGCTGTTTGTTTATGCATGTTCCTAACAATCTGCTTGTTTCACTTCTTTTCACACAGTTCCTTCGTGGTTGAAAGGCAGCCCTGCATGCCAACACATCCCCAGAGGCCAATGGTTCTTAAAACGTTAATACAGTTCACTGTTAAATTAAGGTAAGGGAAGGAAATCCGATATAAAGTCCTTCATTTGTGTACTACATTTTATCCTAGAAGCAATCTAGAAAGCAAAGCAGACCAACTTAAGGCAGAGATCCTTTTGACTCCAGGGACACTTTCTAGAATGGGGATAGAAAGGCCAAAGAATCTGTAACTCATAATAAGTGGCAATAAAGAGTAAATCAGCGTGAGGAAGAAAGGCAGATCATGCCCAAAAGTCAGCACCTTTAGGGCCCTATATCCATTGAATTCTTGTTTTAATGACTGCAAACTGACTAAATAACAATCCACATTGTACAAGCCAACACAGAATACTCAGAGGCACTTTTGCAGGTAGGAAAGTAAACATCTGCATTTTGGGGGGCTCTGGTGAATCAATGAAAAGTTATTTCTCTCCCCCTAGCTCCTTGCCTGACTATGAAAAAAGCAAATACTGGAGAGGAACTCTCCTCTCAGTTCCACCTTGGAGCAAAAAGAAGGCATGGAGGGTTGAGGGGTGTGGAAAGTACGCATACATCTGTGGTGTGATCACAGATTATTGAAATCCATCTCTTAATTAGTACTTTGTTCTCTCTCTAGCCATTCCCTCAAACCCATACTACCTTTTCCACATACTTGCAGGGAGGGTGGAACACCTGCCACTGGGACAGCCCAGCTCCTCTTTCTGAGTATACAACCCTGTACATCATGATATAGTTCTAGATACCTAATCTTTTCTTCAGGTTATAATAATTTCAGATACTTTAGTGTAGAGCTACTGTTCTCTAGCATATTCGGGTGAGAAATTTATTCTGTTAACATTAACTTTCACATTTTCTGTTTTGAAGGTTGCTAATTAAATTACCGGAGCTGAACTACCAGATCAGAGTGAAAGCAACTATTGACAAGTAAGAAACTTTAAAGTGAAGATATTCTCTCTCTCCCTACAGAGACAACACATTTTTTTCAATTGCTACCCTATGTGATTTAGAAGTTGCTCTAAAAGGAAAATGAGGAAAACAAAACAAAACAGTTAAAACATCAGGGTAATGCTTTTTGTTTTTTAATGTGGAAGATTTCTTTGTCTTTTTAGAAAAAAAAACCAAACAAAAAACCAAAAGCTACTATTGCTATTTTCAAATTGGAGGGAAGAAGTCCATTTAGGATTTGTTTCAAAACTTAGATAAAATTCATTTTGAAATAGTTAGCATCAGGCAAAAACTTTAAAGCAAACTGTACTGCATTTATGGGGTAAGTGGTATTTCAAAGCTAACTATCTCTGCTGGCATTAATGGGCCTAGTACCTTCAGTGCAGCTGCTCCAAGTACTACATGAAGTTTGTGCTTAAAAAGCTAGTGCTGTAATTAGTAACTAGGGCAGCTTACAGAGTTTTAGCCCTGCCTGAAATGAAAACTGCTCCATAAATTCTTCCTTTCTAGGGTGTTTGGTTCTCTTTTGTGTTCCCATTATTTTTAGAGCAGTCCCAAATGAGCAGGATCCCCTGCTTCTTTGGTTAATTATGATTTATTGAGCAAAAAGTGTCTCAGAGCCTGTCTATACTACATTTGTGAAAACAGTGTTAATGCTGCCTGGAGTATTTCTATTTGAGTTGATGCGTCTTCTCTCAGCAAGACGTATTATTTTGAGCAATAGCCAGTACTGTAGAGCAAACTTGGTTACACATAGGTCAGGGCACCCTAGCACAATAAAATATGGGGCAGAAAACTTGCTGTCAAGGTATGATTTAAAAATTGGCAAAGGTGATCCAAGCCCTCCTCGCTCCCCAGCCACAGGCTACCTCCTTTCTTCTGGCTCTCCTAAAAAACGCCCTGACCATGTGGACATAGATGATGGCCCAAAAGAAGGAAGGAAAAAAGCACATGGTGGGGAAAGAGCAGGAGAGAAGGCAGGACTGTTCCTCTCGAAAGCTGTGTACTGTCTGATTTGTTGCTGGGCACGTTTCCCCAGTCCACCATGAGCTACCTACACAGGCTCGCATTGTCCCACAACACAGGCAATTAGTACTGCAGCTTTGAATACACACATAGCATTCCAATGTCAGGAGAAAAGCTAGGTAAAATACACTACTTGCATCTGGCCAGATGCAAACGTCTAACCGGACAGTACAAATCTCAATGCTTTAGTTTAAAAATTGCAGTTGTATTGGTAAAACAAATTAGCTTTGACAAGGCAAGAGCTATCATCTCAAGATATGTTTCTCAGCACAAGTTATGGCTCACACATTTACTGATGTACAATGTGTCCTCCCCCTGCCCCTCTTCTATTTCAGGAATGTTTCAACAGTAAGGTAAGAAAATAAGATATCCTATTTCTTAAATGATCTGACGCAATATTATTTACATACGTAAGTGTAATGTCCCCCATAGTAATCGTAGATTCGTTCTGTGTGGAACACATGTGAAAGCAATGAACATGGATGAATCCGCAAACGGAAGCCTGTCAGTGGAATTTCGTCATTTGGTGAGTTTGACTGCTTTTTCCCTCTGATAAAGAAATAAAAGATTCTTTAAAAGCTGTGAAGAACTATGTTACTGTCAAGTCTATGCTCATTTTCTTTTTTCTTATACAGAAAGTTGAATCCTAGAACCTCTTTATCCCATTCCATACTTTATCCATTCCATAAAGTAAGGCTATATATTTTCACCCAAATGACAAAGAAAATCCTAAATAATGCCAGAAAATGAAAAGACTAATCATACTGAATTATACAGCTTCTCAGAAACTGACTTTTGTTAAAAAAGCCAACCTAACAAAACAAAAAACCAAAGCCAAACCACACCACCATTATCTCAGGGAAACGTATAATTGAATGCATTAGATTTGCTTGAAATTACTGGCTGTGATAGCTGTCTTTTGAAAGACTCTAGTACTGCTTCTGTAACTTCTCTTTGTCATGCTTTCTGACTAGACTCCCTCACCTGTGGTATTTTTTTGGCTTGACAACACCTGCAGTGCATTGATGTAGCTTTGCAAAAAGGAGATGGAGATTGATGGTCTTTAGTGCTTTTTTGTATTCCACAAAGCACCCTAATTAACACTTCGTTACTTTAACTTAGTTTCTTAAAAAATTCTTTTAAAATTTCAAAAGACTATTCACTGAATAGATTTTTCAAGGCATAGTGTCAGTCTTCATTACACCATATTTGTATATTGTAAATAAAAAATTATTATACTAAGAACATCATGGTTACAAATGATGTTCTTTATACGTTCTGTCTATAGTTCCTTTAGCACATAAATATTGTTTTGCTTTATACAGCAACCCAAAGAAATGAAATCAAGTGCTGGAAGCAAAGGAAATGAGGTTTGTATATTTATTTTACATCTTATTTTTTATTATTCTCACAAGTATTTCAGATTGGATTTTATTTAAACCAAAGAGCAACCATATGCTGTTAGAGTTTAAAATATACATTACTCTTATAATAAGTATGGGACCCAATTATCATATATACTATAATGAGAACTTTTCAGATCTACACTTAGAAATTTTAATTGCATGCCTTAAATTTGTATATCAAAAAAGTTGCAACAGAATGTAGGAAGTATTAATGTAAATTTATGCATTCCTCTTTAAGGCTGCCTTTTTGGTCATTTACATTTTGAAAAAATAAGCTTCTTTGGGGGGTGGGGGTGGGGTGTTGAAACAATTTTTCCTAAAGGAACGGTTTTTTAAATATATGTTCCGTTGGCAAAGTTTACAGTTGAGGTAAGGGTATTAATACATTTGCATCAAAGAATTCTGCTGGCCTCACCCAGGACCAAAAGCTGCTCAGTTTACCAATGGCCGCCTGAATCTGGTGGTAGGTGTCCCTCTTGTGGTGACACTGTGCCATGACACGTTAGCATCAACAAGCCAGCAAGTCCTTTGCAGTACCCAGGTTTCAGAGACACGCACATACCACCTGGCACGCAAGGTGAAAAGGTATTGCAAGTGCTCGCTTCCTAGCAGAGGAGTTTAAAATCCCTACGTTCTTGCTGTGCAGGGAATAGAAATCAGAAGTATTAACATTGGCACTAATCCACGCCTAGAACACCATGCCTCTGGATCCGTCTGTATTGCAGGGTGCTCCTTCCATTCCTCCTCCAGCACACCTCACATGGATCATAGAATGGTTTGGGTTGGAAGGGACCTTAAAGATCATCGAGTTCCAACCCCCCCTGCCATGGGCAGGGACACCTCCCACTAGAGCAGGTTGCTCAAAGCCCCATCCAGCCTGGTCCTGAACACCTTCAGGATGCCAGGGGCATCCACAACTTCTCGGGGCAACCTGTTCCAGTGTCTCACCACCCTCACTGTAAAGAATTTCTTCCTGGTATCTAACCTAAATCTTGCCTCTTTCAGTTTAAAAGCATTAGCCCTCGACCTCTAGGGGTGGCCATGGACCATCACTATGAATTTAGCATTGCTCTTTAACAGCAAAACCTGCAGGTAAATCTCTGACTGAAGCAAGAGTCAGGGGCTTGCAACCAATGATACAGCCTCTGCCAACACTCCCAGAACAATTAGTGTCTCCCAAGGTAACTGAAGTCATAAGATGCTTCTATGAATGCCATCTACTAACTAAGTGAAATAGGCTCTACTGGTTTAAAGTATCTCCACACCAGCATAACTTTTTTGCATAATAGGAGGACTGAGGGTAAAGTTGTAGTGGCAAGTTTAAAAAAAAAAATATAATAAAAAAAAGTCACTCATCTCACAGCCCAAATAGATGTCATTTTACAAGCACAAAAGTTATTACAAACAGTCTTTAAGTACAAAACAAAGGTGTGATCAGCATGGAGAATTTTAATCAAGAACCTGAAGCTGAAGGTGCTTGTGCATGCTTCACACAGAGTTTCTGAACAGAATAACTTGCAACCTAATTAGCAAGACTGAAACTCAAGGCTCGCCTCCCAGTTACTTTGCTGCTTACAAAGTCATTTGTATCAAGACAAGCAAAGACAAAAATGTAGGTGTAAAAATGTTGGTGCTCTACTTTTGGTAGCATTTTACTCCCACTTCCACACTTTGTGCCTTTCTAACTACATAAAAACATAGGGCTGTGGAGAATTAGGACAGCTGAACTGTGACATGGTTCACTGCTGATTTCCTCAAACTGAGCTTCTCCTTGATCAAATCACAGTCTGAAGTTATTATTAGCATAAGCAAGTTTGGTTTTATATTAACAGCAACTATAATAATTTAAAAACTTGATTTGTTATAGGATATTTAGTAAGCTGAGAGTGCAGTTGTTAAGTACGACTTGCCTCATAAAAAGAAATGTGGGTCTCAGTAATTGAGATTTCTCCTTTCATGTTGATATGCCTTTTTGCCTAGATGATGTCTCCTTGAGAAAATGTTGTTTTTGCAAAATCATAATGAGGGGAGGGAGAAGGGGAGTTTCATCAATCCTTTTCAACTTTGTGTCATCAATACAGGTTGAGCTGGATTGATTCTACCTGTATTAAAACATTTGATGGATGGATATTTCACGTAAAAGCCTTCAACTTTAAGCTGGATTTTCCCTTTGCAAGGCAGATTTATTATTCAGATGCCTGCAGATCTCCTGTGGTATCAATCCCTCGTTTATACAGTATCTTTTATTGCAATGGCCTGTACGTATCCTGGAGGAGGCGCTCCATTGGAAAGATAAGGCCATGAGGCAATTTCCCAAGGAATTGTTTTATTTTACATTGGCTGAAGGTGGAGTATTTCAGTAAAAGGAAGCATTTTGATTTGGGCTTTTTGATTTTGTTTCTTTTTTAAAAAGTCTGACAAACAAATATGTGATGGGGAGGGGAAAAACAACAACAACAACAAAGCAGGAAAAGGACAAACAGATTTTTATACTTTGACATCTGGGGATGGAAATGTATTTCCAGAGATCTGTTTCCCAAGGGGGGGAAGAGATTTGGATCTTTACAGAGCTATGCTGATTTATAATCAAAACAAAATGCTTGTACTAGAAACTTTACTATGACAATCAGATTATTATTTTTCCATCAAATAAAAGCTTGAGTTTTTAATACCAGATTTATTTTGGATTAATGATTTAGGCCTCTACTCATTCAACTAGTACCATACTAACAACAAACCTATGTTCCCCAATCAGGGCGTCCTTGTCATTAAAGCTGTGACTTTTTGTTTTGTTTCTAGTTTGTCTCTCTCCTTGAAGTTTAATATTCCTGTTTAAATTGGAATTGTCAATCAGTAAAGAAATTTTAGGAAAAAAAGAGACACAATAAATAATCTGTTAACTTTGTGTGAAAAAAATTGTCTCCAACAACAATATTGTGTTTAAAAGCACCATTTTAGAAAAAGTTAAAAGCGGAAGTTGAAAGGTTAAAAGTATTGTTTTAACAATGTCAATGTCAATTTAACACTGTTTTTTTCCATCAGAAAAAAACCACCAGACTTCTGGACTAATTTAATGTCAAAGTTTAACAAACAAATTATTTCCTTCACTTCCTTCTTTTCCTGCTTTTCTTATATATTTGATATGTGTAACGTCAGCTGTGCACTCACAGTTTTATAACCTATTTACTCCCTCAGGGCCCTCACATGGTGACCGAGGAACTCCACTCCATCAGTTTTGAAACCCAGGTCTGCCTGTATGGATTGACTATAAATTTGGAAGTGAGTATTCTAGCCAGATTTTCCAGGGCAAGAATGAAAGGCATTTTCCAGCAGCTTATAGAAGAACAACTGTGTTGGGCCAGATCACAGGTCCATCTATCCTAGATGCTAACGTCAGTAGTAACCATAAGCGGACACAGGATTTCCAGAACTTCTGGACAGAAGCGTACAGTTTGGGAAGGAAGGGAGGGCTAAAAAACCAAAGCATAACACAGTGTTAACACTTCCCTCAGCAGCATTTACATACCACATTCATTCTTTCCACCAGACCAGCTCTTTGCCTGTGGTGATGATCTCCAATGTGAGCCAACTACCCAACGCGTGGGCTTCTATTATTTGGTACAATCTGTCAACCAACGATCCTCAGGTAGGTCTTCAGTACGCAAGGACTGACTTTCTGCATTTTCACATTTCTATTATTTGGTTACCAAATATATTCTTTATAAAAAGGCTGTCCCCCCCTCTTAAATTGGCCTGATTTTCTTAGAATATATCCCCCCCTCTTAAATTGGCCTGATTTTCTTCACATATACTGTTACCAACATCATACTTAAATGTTGTTCGCTTTACCTTTTGTTCCCTGTGCAGATATAAAACCACATGCACAGTCAGCCTTTCTTTTTGTAGGCTAAAGTAGTAGTTCTTAAACTAAGGAAATGTGATAGCCTTTCCCCACAATTTTTCTAGTTTGAATTTTTCTTTTTTGGATGCAGTTGGGCAAAACTGTACGTGGTACAAAATAATTCTACCAGTACAATTCAAAACTGTCACAGTAGGTGTATAGGTGGGTCTGTGATATATTTAAAAGCTGCTTTCCCTCATGCATTTTAGGGGAGCTAGCTATGGAGAAGATTCTAAGTGTCAAGTAGCACCTTTTAGTGGCTTTGACCATAGGCAAAAGCAGAATCAGTCTTTCTCAGGCTCCAGCTGGCTCAGCAGATATTTTAGGTTCAGTCACTGTTACTGTATTTGCAGATTGTAGAATAGTGCTGTCAATGGTTCTCAGGCTTTCAGTCAGGGATTAGTGGCAGCCACATAGACATTCACAGGAGAGAAAGGGTAAGATAGTTTACCAGGGAGTGTGCCTCAGAATGAAAGCAGGCCAGCTGGCTTCATTATCACTCCGTGATATTCCAAAGAGTATTCCGCACAGGATGTTCGTTACATATACAGTCCAGAAACTAAAAGAAAAACTAAGATAAACCAAATGATTCAAGAACATGTGGCCATTAGAGTATGTAAAGTTTGGGATTTCTATGCACCACACCTTATAGTGGGAGTATCTACATTTATTGCATAGGCTTTAAGCGTATTTTCACTGTCTTAACGTATGATACCATGAGAAGCACAGCAAGGTATTTCATCATTCAAGATGCACACATAGACTCTCACTCTTTTAAGGTCCATCCCAGTGGACCTTGCTGGGTGGCTGCAGGTGGAAGGGCCAGCAGTCATTTACCGAAGGTATCCCCCACACACACCTCATTTTAAGACTTCTGGATTCTGCTTGAGTACTTGCAGCTTTCTTTTACAGCCTGTAGTGTATTTCATGGTTGCTAACTGTCTAAACAAGCACTAATTCTGTTGCAGAATTTGTCTTTCTTCAACAATCCCCCTGCTGCCACTTTAAGTCAGCTCTTAGAAGTACTGAGCTGGCAATTTTCATCATATGTTGGTCGTGGACTCAATTCTGAGCAGCTCAACATGCTGGCAGAGAAACTTACGGGTAAGATTGTAGAAATAAACAGATTTTATTTGCTTTTAGACTCTTGTATTTGATAGGCACAGGTAATGACTGTGACCATGACCTCTGCTTCCAGAGCTGACTTCAAAAATGCCACAATGACATTTTTTTGCTTTAAAGAAAAGCACACGTCAGCTTATTCTTACCACAAAGTGATTCAACTTCTGAACTTCCAGGCTGCTAAACTGAAGAAAGAGGGCATCAGAGTCACAATGTGATGCTATTTTGTTTCCTTAGCAAGTAATTATCTCATGCATCTGAAATCAAAAGGAAGTATTTTTGCTTGCTTATGGGGTTTGGTTTGGGTTTTGTTTCATTTTAAGTATCTGTCCTTGTGGGTCTGTTTAATTGTGGGACCCATCTTTCACTGGTGACAGCATAGCAAAGAAGCCCTATACCTTCAGCAAGATGAACTATTCAACACTTGAATCTGACTGTCCCCCGGAAGGGAGAGGCCCTAGGGAAAGCTGGCAGAAGAAATATTTATCTGTTTCTGGGAAAGAAACAATTCTAAAATATACTGTGAGCTGAAAGAAACTCCAGGCTGAGGGTGTAACGATACCTCTACTGTTGGGCAAGAACAAAAGCATCTGTCAAAGATGGGGGGGAATCTTTACTTTTGCTGCTTTCAAAGCTGGGAAGCAAAGACTGGTTTCCCTGGATAGCAGTCACTTTTCTGATGGTTTCTCAGAGATTTCTTGCTTAGTTGAAGTAGCAGAGAGTTGTCACTGTAAATCAGCAAGAACCGTAAGGAAGAAAAAAATAAATTGTCTTAAAATATGGGAGCTTAAGGCGGCCAAGAGAATCAACACTTGAGCTAAAAACTGAAACTGAGCATACAGTGTTGCAGAAACAAAGTCCCAGACTACTTTAGGCAAATAGCATCATGTGCTTCCAAAGGATACAGAAAAATTGATCTAAAGCAACTTAGTATGCCCCTCTCAATCCCTCTCCAAGTCTGGATGTACTGTACTACCCCCTGCAACTATATAGCTATCAAACTATATCTATTGCAAAACCTCAGAAAAATAGACTCACCATTTGTCGGTTGGTTTTGTTTTTTTTTTTTTCTCTCAGGCCAACAAGTCAGTTATAACGATTATCAACTATCCTGGGCAAAGTTCTGCAAGGTACGGTTCCAAAAGTAAAACCAGACTCTTGTTTATCTTTATGCCCACATGCACGTCTAACTGTCTCTCTAATGCTACTTAAAAGATTCCCACTTGACATATGTGGGACTTATAGCCCAGCACAATCGCATTCATTGTAAAAATTTCTTTAGGACACTAATATTTAGAGAAGTTTAAAGCTTGGGCTAAGAGATCTGCTGAGTTACATTGCTACAGAGATCAGAAACTACCATTATAGTGTACTGAATATATTTCTGTAAATGATCAATAGATTGTGCTATCAAAGCATGCAATACATTTTTTATAAAGCATACAGTAAATTTTCTCATGTGCTCAGTTGTGACCTAAATTACTTCGAGTTGATCGACACATTCAGTAACTTTGATGGGGAACAGAAAAGTTACTGAGAAAGAAGAGTAAACCCATGTTATTCTTACTAACTACATTATTTAAACACATATAGAAACTTGGAAGGGAATTCTCGTCATCATTTCTCTCAAAAAGTAATTTCATAACCAGGGAGAAACAATAAATGTGATTTTTTTTTTATTTTTTTTTTTAAATGAAGTGCTTACAGTGCATATCTTAAAAATCAACTGGTTTTATGTCAGGCTGAAAGACAGATGTTACTCAAAACAGCAGTTCAAATTTGTCATTCTCGCTTGAATAAACTAGATTATTCCTAACAAACTGAGATAGCCATGTCGTGTGGATGTTGGGTAACAACACTCCCACAATTCTCTTTTCGTGTGTGTTGGTTTTGTTCATGTTTTTTGTTTTGGTTTTTTTCTTTAACCGTTAGGAACATTTGCCTGGGAAGTCTTTTACCTTTTGGGTTTGGCTTGAAGCCATTCTGGACTTAATTAAAAAACACATTCTTCCTCTTTGGATTGACGGGTGAGCAACAAGGAAACAGATGTAGATTTATCTCTCTCTGCTTTGTCTTTTTTGTTTACTAATCTCAGTTTTGGCTATGCAGAAGAAAATTTGCAAAGAGTTTAATACTTCTGTCTCCCTCTTCCCATTTCTAACTTCTTGAAACTTTTGCCAACAGGGAGGACCATTGAATCTCTTAGAAATGCAGGTTTAGATCTGTTTATCAGTTCTGTCAGTGTACGGTCAAGTACTCTGATAAATTTCATCATGCTTCACAGTACTTTGAGCTCAATGCCATACTCCACATGTAACTCACGTGAAGCTTTTGTCGTAGTTTCAAGACCTTATAAAGCTTCTGTAACCAGGCTTTGAACACCTATATAAAGTTTGTATATAAAGTTTGGCCAGATGCATTGCACAGATTGAAATCTGTATTTTTTTTCCAAAAGCAAACTCATGATTTCCTGTTACACTTCAGGTACATAATGGGATTTGTAAGCAAAGAGAAGGAACGAATTTTGCTCAAAGACAAGACACCGGGAACATTTTTGCTAAGGTTTAGTGAAAGCAATCTGGGTGGAATTACCTTTACTTGGGTGGATCAGTTAGAAAATGGTAAGTATAACTTTAAAAAAATAACATAAACCTAAAACTCTGCAATACAGCTGTAACACAGGAATCATGGTTTCTTTGATTTAAAAGTAAAATCGACGCGTACCATGTCTTAGTATGGTTTTGGGCAAGATACAAGTATCACATTTACAGAAACACAAATCGAAACTCTGAAAGTCTACCTTTCAGTTCATTACATTAACTACAAGACTTCACCAGGAGGTGTACCTGCTTACTGCAGGCTTTACATTTGTTTCAATGTGTGCAGAAAGTATAACTCGAAAGATACCAACATTGGTACAAACAGGTAAAACTCACGCCCGTGTACACTCTGAAAGAAAGCCACAAATATGTTCCAACTACCAGTTATCAGCGGCTGCGGTGCCTTTGTATTTTTACAGGAGATGTAACATTTCATTCAGTGGAACCCTATAACAAAGGTCGCTTATCTGCACTGCCTTTTGCCGATATACTGCGTGATTACAAAGTTATTATGGCGGACAACGTTCCTGAAAACCCTCTGAAGTATCTGTATCCAGACATTCCCAAAGATAAGGCCTTTGGCAAACACTACAGCTGTCAGCCAAATGAAGGTTGGGCTCCATTTCTCTATTTACTCTTTCTGCAAAACAGCTGCGAAATCAAGAGCCAATTTAAGGAATGGGGGAGAAGAGGAAGGGAACAGGAAGGGAGGGAACTGCTTTAGCATGTGTCTATCATTTAGACAGCTTCATTTTGTAAATATATCCCAGGTCTTAGAGGCTACATTATAGACAATGACAACAGTATTTAAAAGAAGATAAGAAATAGATCTTAGGGTAGAAAGAGCCAGAAAAAAAAAAAAAAAAGGATTTTTCTGACCGATGCATTACAAAATTCAGTGCTCAGGTATTCAGAGATTAAACTGAAAAGTCATCCTGCCTATCAGCTTCATAATTGTGTTACACTGTAGCATGCTGTGTCTTCAATTTCAAGGAAATTCTGTATTTTCCAAACAGCTTTATTCCAGCAGTATAAACCCTGGCAACTGCACTGGAAAAAACAAAAAGGCTAGACAAGAACAGCTCCAAACACGTTCAGGCCCATACTCTTTCTTGTTCAAGTTACAAGACAGGCCATTTTTAGATCAAACTTGCCTTCTCTCAAAAAAGCCCTCAAAGCCTTGATTTTGTTAAGAGATAATACACACTCTTCTGATCTTTCAGTATAAAAGGTTACAATTCCATTTTATTTCAAATCCCTACACTACCCAAAAATACTTGGAGGCTACAAATGTTTTTCCTCCTCATTTTACTTCCGTGGACTTTGCCTAATGGGCCAGCTCTCTAAAAATTTATGTATATGCTTAATTTCATGTAAAAGACATTGCTGAAGCTGTATCTGTAGAGACAGAGCTCTCAGCAAGCATTTGCGGAATCGAAATCTAGAGGCTCAGAAGTGCCAAGCTTGTATAGTTACAGTATATTTAGTTTTGAAGCCCTAACGAGATCTCTTGCATCAGTTGCTGTATTATATTCTGAGATGACGATTCATGTCAAGGGAGCACAGTCAATTATGTGACTAAGACCTGAACTCAAAGGCTAATCTCAGGAATTCCCCTAATTTTAATGGCTGCTTATTTAAACATAAACAGGCATGTTTCTTTTTTAATATATTATGGTCTGCAGCACTTAAAGCAAATAATCAACTTCAAATAAGTAATAAAAGTACTAGGCAATATTTAATTTCTCTTATATTGACTTTTAGTCTCAAAGCCCTCAGACGGAGGAGGCAAAGGTTATGTTCCTTCTGTGTTTATCCCAGTCTCCAAAATGTAAGTATCCTTACACATGCATTACACTTCAAATATTATTTTTATTAAATTTGCATACTGTTTCAAAGTTTTTTGCAGCTTGCCTTCCCCTGTTCAAATAGTTTGGGATAGCAACACAATGCATGTTTTTATTTGGCCAAGGACTACTAAAGACAAGAAAGAGAAGTAAAGAACTTCACTTCTACAGTGTTTTTCCCATCCAGATGGCAAAACATTTGAAAAAACTGAATGCAGATTTTACAGTACCCTGATCTACTTCTCTTTCACTGACTCCTTTTTCTCTCCAACAGCTGGTGTTACAGGAGTCGTGTTTATCCTCTCTTCCCTCCTACATTTTTAAATGTATACCAGGTTGTTAGCATGTGCTTACAGGGCCACCGGCGAGCACTACTCCACTGTTATGCATCAAGTTGGAGGGATTTAAGTTGGTTTTAAAATTATTTTTGTGGTTTTTGTGTGTGTGTTTTTTTTAAGCTTAAATGATTCTACAGAGCCACACTCTCCATCAGATCTTCTTCCAATGTCTCCAAGCGTTTATGCTGTGCTGAGAGAACACCTGAGTCCCACAGTGATTGAAACTGCCGTACGTTGCAAACTTTTCCATTCACGTTAATACACGGGCAAATGGGAGACGCTGGTTATAAAAAGGCTGCTTGTACAATTATGAAAAAATTAGAGTTCTTTCATCACTTACTGTATTACATTCTGAAATGGTGGTGCAGACTTTTCAGATTCTAAATGGGACAGGACTCTGCAAGCATAGTCGGAAGCACTGTGTTATATGAAATGATCTAACACGCTGGCCAATGAACCATGACTGTCACAATTCAAAGATCCCAGACCTGTTGCACAAACAAAGCCTTTACACTGACAGATACATCACGATTACCCTAATTCTGTAGATAGCACAAAGGACTTGACTTGCTTGGGAAAGCTGCACAAGGAACATAAAAAAGTTCTGATTCAGCAAACTTGCACAACTTTTCAGTGCTGCAAGTTTCTACATGGGGTACCAAAGTGAGAAATTAAAAGTAAACCAAAACATTTTTAGCAAGTAGAACTAATATTCACTAAGTATATAGAAAGAATAGGAAAATACTGTAGCAATGTTCTACTAAAAAATTTTCCTCTTTTGCTTACTGACTAGAAACTGTGTTCTGAACCATTGTGATTTAGAGTACTTTGAGCATTCGTGTGTACTCACTGGGGATTTGTCCAGCAGACTTCTATCAGGAAACACAGCAGTGGTTTGGATTTAACAGCTCAAAAAGAAAACCTCCTTTTTTAATACTAGCTCTTAGTTTTCTGTATGTTCAATGATTTATGATCTTAAAATGGTTATGTATTTAAAAGCCTGTCAACTCCCCTTCAAATGCCACTCTGTAAACACTCCCTCTCACCCCAAACCAGAATAAAGCTAAACTAGAATCCTGATTGTTGATGATTGGAAGTACAGTCAAATTATATATACAAATAGAGGAGTTATTTAATATACACCAAGCTCAAGACCTGTTCAAAAGCAAAATATCTTTTTTTGCTTCTTCACCTTTTCCTCTGATAGTATGCATGACAAAATAGTTCTTCAGCCTATTATTTAAATTTTAGCTGAATAAAAGTTCTGCATTAAAACCTGCCGCACCCGATCTGAGACACGCCCCCACCCATTTGTTCTTTGATATTTATGTACGAAAAGAGTTCTGACCTAAAGTGCATTTGTGAACTACACACACATTGGCATTTCCCAAAGTTTCAGCAGCAAAAAGAATAGTTGGCTTCACTTTTGTTTATCATCAGGCTCCAAACAATTTTGGATTCATTTGGCATGCAGAGTAATTCTCAAACCAGCTCTGTCCAGAGCTTCCAAACCAGCTGTGACCATCACCATCTTCTGGGGTCATAACCGCACAATGTGTTTGGTGATTAACTGGGAGACTCAAATACAAGCATGTTGTGTGTTTTTAAGGAAGTGGTTCAGTGCTGCTAGATGGTAGGTGCATTTCTGGAGGCTCCTACTAGAAGTGTTTTCAAATTCTGCTAGAGATTGGGGGAGAAAATAGTTTTGAAACATTTTTAAAGAACTCCTTCCCTCCTCTTTCCATTCTATTTATCTTGGTAATGGAAAATGAGAACAATATAGGGGGCTTTTCTTTATCATTGCAAATTCACACATCAATCTACCCTGGTGAATAGCTAGCTAAATTCGGAAAGCAGACCATCTGCTTTAATAAAGCAACACTTTTTTCTCCATGAGATGCCAATAAAAGAAGTACTGTGTGAGATGCAGAGAACAAGAGTGAAATGTGCAGCAGGACAAAATATACTGCAATTAAGTAACTCAGTCTTAGGAAGATATACTTTCTGCAGTCTGGCTGAATTCCCTCCTGCTTCCCCCCTCTCCAGATTCCCCTATCCACTGGGAAAACAAGACTCCTGTGAAAACCCTGCTTTACATATCCATAGGCTGCAAGAACTACAAGAGATCATATAAAAATATATATCATTTTTATTGCAACTGTTTACCACATAGTGTTTTATAATGAGCATTGTAATGCCCATTTATAATGAGAATTATAAAGTGGATCCTCAGGTCCTTGCCAGTTTGTGTTACGCTGTCAAAATGACACTACGGGTGCTTTGAGCCAGAGAAGGTTTCAGCTGCAGTTATTTCTGAACGAGCATCAGTAACTTCCATGAGACTAATCTTTTCCTTTTTTGTTTTTATTTCTAGCTGAGTTCTCCTTACTCAACTGAGTGAAGTTCACATACTGGAAAAATTAGTAATTGTGTGAACACTGGACGGGTTAAGGATGCAGTGAATGTTTATCATCTTTGTAAATCATGATCTCCCGTAAAACATTATGATGTTATTTCTTGGGCCTCTTTCTGTTATCGACACCGTGTAAACAAGGACTCTTCTCCCTAGGGATTACAGTGGCCTCCTGCAAGTCAGAATTGCTGTCCTCACTGATAAAAGGCCAAATACTTCCTGGCTTGGAAGTCATTTGACTTCAGTGGGGCCCAGCAGGGATAAATCTTACTTGCAGAATTAACATCCATAGAATTGCTGTAAATATGACAGTATAAAATCAAAATGTTTTGCTTCTGAAAACAGCCTATACGGATAATTAACGATATTAATGTGTTTCGGGAAATTAGGATTTATTATGTTAAATAGTTTCTCTTTAATCATCATCTTGTATACCATTGGTTTAGCTTCTATTTTAAAGCCAAGATTCTCATCCCTCTTGAGTTCAAACGTGCCACAGACGTCCAGGGTTTGCTTGCTTTCCAAACATGAGCTACTTTCAGCATAGATTTTTATCTGCCACCACAGCAGAAGTTGTGGAAGCAAAGGCGGCAAGTCTGGGAAGACAAGAAAGGAAACTGACACAAAACCTGTGGTGTCAAAAAGGCTGCATTCATTTAGCCACTGGAAGAGAGGGTTAGTAAAACTTCCCCCTCTCACAAAATAGTTGCAGGAGTAAATCTATTTGTGCATGAAGCACTCAGATGCTGCAGCAAGGACTATCAGAAAGTCTGCAAAGAAAAAATCCTGATCTGGCAGAGTTTGGATACTATCTGGTAAACACAAACCGGGAAGCACCGTTTTAAAAAAATAGTTACTGAAGACCTGCAGCATTTGCTGACCACTGGGTAATTTGTGCCACATGACAGAATATTGCATGCCTCTCAAAGACTCATTTAGTAAGCAGAATTACTGGGTTTTGTATAAATGGTAAATTGCCTTTTAAAAATATTCTTTTTTTTTTTCTGACAGGCACTGTTTAGTGCTAGGTTTGGGTTGTTTGGGTTTGTTGTTGGGGTTTTTCCCCTATATTATCCCTAAAACCTCTGTTAAGAGAACAATAAACAGGCAATTCCAAGGCCACTGTATTTCATGTATGCAGGCTCGTTCAAGATTTCATTCTTGTCTGCAGAACACACGGTTAAAGCACGCAAAGTTCTTGAAATAGATACAAACACTTGAGCATTTGCGCCTTATATTCTTCTTGATTGGATACATGGGATGAAAACATATCCTCCTTGAATCAGTAAGACCTGGATTTTACTTTCATTTCTCCTTTTTTACTCATGCCTCTCATTCCTACTAATGACATTAGTTGAAAGCAAGTGAATGGGAACAAATAGGGAGATATTTCTGTCATACGTGGGAGTAGATTTAAACAAATGAACGCATCTCTCTCCATTAATCTGAGTGATTTAAAGCAAGTTGCAGATAAGATGTCGTTTTCTCTTGGAAAGCATCATGTATAAATAATTTTCCAAAACAACAAGAGCAATTGTGTATATAGTTTGGTAACATCTGTAATTTATATGACCCCCATGAATAAAAACAGATTTTGGCTTAAAGATGGATGCTTGGACTTCTGTGGAATTTTTTCAAGATAGAACAAAAATTGAATGTTGCCTTCTTTCTGTTGATGTCAAGTCTGAACTACAAGCAGTAAGGCAAACTTCTGAAGCAGCAAATGTAACCTCACATCAGCCATTGCATACCTTTTCATTCTAACCTGTTTTCACAGTCACAATACAAACAAAATGGGGGGGTTACCCTATACTTTTGACCATCCAAACCTCATGAGAAGTACCTTAAAAAAACATCCAGACCTGGCAAGTGAAAGTATCTTCTCTCTTTCCTGCTCCCTGTGCAACACAACTCTTCAAAACTCTGAAGTCTTGACTTCAACAGAATATATGTTACTGAATAGCATTATGGATCAGGTTTGGCCTTACAGTTTCTAATACTGTTTTCAAACAGACTTTGCAAGGGGTAGCTTTAACATTTAATTGAAAAGCATATGACTTTAAATCAGTTTGCTGCTTTAAAGGAACATTGGAGTAATTTTCTGAGAGATAAATGTATAGAACCCAAGCCTCCTTCCATTAAAAAAGTGAGAATGTTGTCCTTACGCCACTCTGAGTAAGAACAGGGTTCCCCTGTAAAAGGATGGGGGCAGGGAGAGAAAAGAAAACCGCACTGAAAGGGATGCCTCAAATACTGTCAGAAGCAGGGAAACGTTTGCTTTTAAGTACTTTCACTAACTGTACCTGTGCTCTCACTGTGCAGCAAAGTAAAAAACAACAGGAAAAAAACCACACACAATGTTTCTGTGTTTTGCATCTTGCCACACCGCTGTAACAATTCTAATTAAAAAATGTGAGAACTGTTAGTTACCTTCTATTACAGCTTTTATTTATAGCTACATTTACATCCACTGCTCAGTAGCATTTCATACCACAAAGTTTACCAAAGAGACCTTCCATGTGCTTGTTTCTTCCATAGGCTGATAATTACCTCCTCCATCTGAGGAGAGAGGGGGATAAAAAGGACACCGAAAAGGGTACAAACATTCTTGAGACCTGCACGAAAGCTTGAACTTAAATTCTTCCCGTCTTTTTTGACGCTTCATACATGAGACAAGAACAAACAAGGCTGTGCATGTCCAAGTAATGTCCTAGCAAGTAAAGACAGTAGAAAGACAGCTGACTTGAAGGAAAAGGCAACCTCCTTATCAAAAGATATCCAGTGGGAAGAAAATTCTCAGCTGACAAAATGCCAGGAATGATCAACACGCTCAGCCGCCTGCAGTTTATAGGCATTCTTAAAGTTTCTGTAACTTTGAGGGGCATCTGGGTTAGAGTTTATAAACCAACAACTGCAGCTGTGTTGATGGCACTCGCACACCTTTCTCCTGAGCATGCAATGCCAACAGGTGACATAAGGGCCGACTGCAGACTGGCTGTCCCTTGTCACTGCTTTCCACAGCCAGCCTGTCACTACGCTGGCCCACTCTTCCACCTGCAGGAGCTGAAAATGGTTATTTGGTGAAATGCGGGTCGTTTTCTAACTGGGAGATTTGGTGAAATGCGGGTCGTTTTCTAACTGCTTATGATTCAGAGCTACTTCTAACACCTCTGATGCTTTACAATGCCTGTAAATCCTGACGATGAGGAAAACAAGGCACCGCTGCTGCCCAGGCAGGGTGAACCGGGCCAGGTCCCCACGCCACAGGGGGGGCATCACTGCCAGTGGGGACCCCTCCCACACCACAAGGGGGGTCCTCATTGCCATGGGGGACCCTCCCACGCCACAAGGGGGGGCATCAGTGCCAGTGGGGACCCCTCCCACACCACAAGGGGGGTCCTCATTGCCACAGGGGACCCCTCCCACGCTACAAGGGGGGGCATCACTGCCAGTGGGGACCCCTCCCACACCACAAGGGGGGTCCTCATTGCCACAGGGGACCCCTCCCACACCACAGGGGGGACTCACTGCCAGGGGCAACCCTCCCACACCACAAAGGGGGGCCTCACTGCCCCAGGGGACCCCTCCCACGCCACAGGGGGGGCATCACTGTCCCGGGGGGGACCCTCCCACGCCACAGGGACCTCACTGCCACAGTAGATCCCTCCCACACCACAGGGGGGACTCACTGCCTGCTTATGATTCAGAGCTACTTCTAACACCTCTGATGCTTTACAATGCCTGTAAATCCTGACGATGAGGAAAACAAGGCACCGCTGCTGCCCAGGCAGGGTGAACCGGGCCAGGTCCCCACGCCACAGGGGGGGCATCACTGCCAGTGGGGACCCCTCCCACACCACAAGGGGGGTCCTCATTGCCATGGGGGACCCTCCCACGCCACAAGGGGGGGCATCAGTGCCAGTGGGGACCCCTCCCACACCACAAGGGGGGTCCTCATTGCCATGGGGGACCCTCCCACGCCACAAGGGGGGGCATCAGTGCCAGTGGGGACCCCTCCCACACCACAAGGGGGGTCCTCATTGCCACAGGGGACCCCTCCCACGCTACAAGGGGGGGCATCACTGCCAGTGGGGACCCCTCCCACACCACAAAGGGGGGCCTCACTGCCCCAGGGGACCCCTCCCACGCCACAGGGGGGGCATCACTGTCCCGGGGGGGACCCTCCCACGCCACAGGGACCTCACTGCCACAGTAGATCCCTCCCACACCACAGGGGGGACTCACTGCCAGGGGCAACCCTCCCACACCACAGGGGGGTCCTCACTGCCATAGGGACCTCACTACCAGGGGGGACCCTCCCACGCCACAGGGACCTCACTGACAGGGGGGACCCTCCCACACCACGGGGGGACCTCACTGCCCCTGGGGACCCCTCCCACGCCAAAAGGGGGGCCTCATTGCCATGGGGCACCCCTCCCACGCCACAAGGACGGCCTCACTGCCACGGGGGCCTCACTGCCCGAGGGGACCCCTCCCACGCCACAACGACCTCACTGCCCGAGGGGACCCCACCGCCAGGGGGAACCCTCCCCCGGCTGCGGCTGACCGCTCCGCCAGCAGCCCGGTGTAAGCCAGGCGGGGGGGTGAGGGGGGAGGAGCCGGGCGGCCGCTGGTTTCGCTTTCGCCTTCCCCTCAGTCGGCCCTTTCTGGTTCCCCGCTGCTTTTCCCCGAAGTCACGTGGGCGGCTGTTCCCCGCTCCCGGCTCCCCCTCCCGCCGCCGCTCCTGCGCACTAAGGGAGAGCGGGGCGGCGGGTCCCCGGGGCGGCCGCAGCCGGCGGGTGCGGGGGGTGTGCGGGGCTGGGCACTGGAATAGGCTGCCGGAGCCTTCCCCCGAGAGGTGAGGAGGACGGACGCCCAGGGTTACTGGCGTAGCTGGAGCTATGGCTGCCTCCGAGTAGCCCCTCGCCGGCCGCAGGTCGCCCCACCGGGGCTTGACGCTTCGGCGTCCTGAGTCGCCTCCTAAGGGTCTGCGTTCGTGACAGGGTCACACACACACACACCCCACGCTCCTTCCTGCGGGGACACCTTTCTCTTTCACCTGTTACACCCGCTCACGCTTCCTACATCTTAAGCTGCTTTTAGCTCCTCAAGAGCCGCCCGCCCTCTCACACGCTGCCGGCCTCCAACGGAGACGGGGCTCGCCCTATTTCTGCTTCACCTGCCGCTGCCAGCAGCGCCGGGCGGCCGGGTTTTAACAAGTGTAACCTCTCTCCACCTTGTACGCGTGGTGCTTCCACCTCGCCAGCCCCGGCAGCCACCGGGGGCACTCCCGCCGGCGGGGGAGGGAAGCGCTGCCCCGGGGAACAGCTGCCGGAGGAAAACGGGCTGTGGGGCGGGGCACCCCGAGCGCCACCGCGCGCCCATTGGCCAAGGCCGCGAGGGGCTGCGCTTCGATTGGCTCGCCGGCCGGCCCGCCCCCTCTCCCTCAGCCGGTACTTCTGGGGACCGGCGGCCGTCGGGGCGCGGAGCCGGAGGGTGGCTTTATCTCACGCGTAAGTGCGGGCGTCGCGCGTGGGGTTGGGGAGGACTTTTAATGGCCACTAACGGCCACCAACGGCCGCGGGGAGCGCGGGCCGGGGCTGGCAGGGCGGGGGGGAAAAGCATGGGGGAGCGCTGTCCTCCCTGAGGGCCCGTGGGGCCGCGGTGGCGGGAGCGCGGGGGGGTAAGACGGCGGGGATGGCCGTCCCTCGCCCTTTGCTCCCCCGGCGTGGTTGGGCGGCTGTCTCCCGGGAACGAGACGAAGGATGGAAGTGTTGGGAGGCGGCGGGGTTGGATACAGGTCGAAGGAGTCGGAGTTTAGCCGTGGGAGGTGGCCCCCGCAGGGGTGTTAGCGAGGCCCGCAAACCCGCACAGCTGCGGGTTAAGGCCCCTTTTCTCCGGGGACAGGCATGGCCTGCACGTTGGGCACAACGGCAAAATGAGCTCCTCATCCTCCAGCGCCAGTTTGTCAGTGCCAGGCTGAGCCCTGTTATATCCCAGTATCGGTCTCCCCAAGGCTTTCTCCACAAAAAGGTGCTGACTTCCCACTTTTCTTCTTGTTTACCTGCTTGGATCCCCAAAGACGGCATTTTCTACATTATTGTGTTGCTCTGTAACCAGCTCTTTGGATGGTACGTGGCCACCACCTAAGTCCTTTCCCAGTCTGGTTGCTCTAAGACACAGGAAGGTTGGAGTACATCTTAATTTAAGCATCAGGGGGAAAAAAAAAAATAGACCAACTTGTTGCATTTAGACAAATTATTCCAGCTTTCCTCACCAGCGTCATGTTTAACTGTTTGCCTTGGTGCCGCTACAGCATTCTCAAATGCTGTGTTACCTGTGTACCCCATCCCACGCACGTCGAAACCCTCAAAGCCCCTCACTTTAACCATAAGAGCTTTTTTAACTCACATGTAGAGTATTCCACTCAGCAGCTGAGGGAACTGGCATACAAACACTAAGGTGCAGCACGTATAAGGTAGCCCTTCATCCCAGTGCTGCTCCGATCCTTGGATAGGTCCTGTCACCCTTTTTTAAAAGCTGCAGATGCAAGTGGATTTGAATCTCGCCACCCATGTTCTCAGCCTGGACTGTTCCTTAGACATATCTTTATGTGGCATTTCCACTACCAGACTCTAATCTGCAGCCCACTGATGAGATGATAATGGGTCTGCAGCCAGATACCGTATAGGAGAACATACAGCCAATCTGTCATAGAAGTGTTACTGTACAGTATGGCTTATCTCAGTCATATTAGTTCATTTGAAGTGACCTGTGAATGCTGCACACATTACTTAATTTAGCCCACAAATTTGATCATAGGCACCAAAGCATATAGTAGAAAAAACAGCTCTCCAATACTTCTCCACTTAGAGTAGCCTGAGATCTAGTCCATCTTCAGAGCACCTGAAGTGGTCCCTTAAGTTTCTTTGCTTTTCCACCTCTTGCTGATGGGGAGTACAGCTATACCAACAAAAGGTGAAACTCCTCATACAGGGTCTCGATCCTGCAGAGTACAGGTATCAAACACACAGGTCCTCATTCCTGTAACCCTACGAAACAAGAGAGTGGTAACTCTACCGGTAACCTGAATACTGTGGCAGGGGGTACAAAGGAAAAAAAAGCCCGCAAGTTTTCGTAGAGAAGAGTGATTTATCTTTGCGTTATTTTTCATTAAACAGTGCACTGTCTTAACTTGCAGTTTTTAAAATTTTTCTTTTAATTTAAGACAAGCCCAGAAGAAGTTGTATACAGTTTTAATGATTAGCTTTCTAAAACTGTTACAGCTGAAAATAAAATGGTTTTGTTTGCTGGAAACACTTTTCCTTCCTACTCCTCCAATTTTGCCATTGTTCATGAAAACTTTAAACGACTGACTTTTCACCAGTTCAGTCCAAATACTGCTTAAATATTTACACTGATTTTTTTTTTTCCTTTCCCCCCCTCAGGATGACTCAGTGGTATCAGTTACAGCAACTTGATTCCAAGTTTTTGGAGCAAGTTCACCAGCTATACGATGACAGCTTTCCTATGGAAATCAGGCAGTACCTGGCACAGTGGCTGGAAAACCAGGATTGGTAAGCATAAAAACCAGCCTTCAGGTTGAGTGACAGGCAGTGTTCTCATACATGCAGTTACAGGCAGCAGCAGAAGGGAAGTAAACATCTAGGTGAGCCTTTGCTGGTAGGACACTTCAGTAGCTGTGTGGGAGCTATAGCTGTGTTCCTGCCCTTCAGGGCTTTCTAGAAGGGCCTGACACCTACAGTAACAAGTAACAAAAAGCAGCTGGTTTTAGACTGCTGATTTACTACCTTGGCAGCTCAGTCTCTCACTGTTAATAAACTTTGAACTTTTGCTAAGATTTCTATGGAGTGTCTTAGGAGAATGATAGAACATGCACATGCACTTTTAGCTTCTTGATGCGCGTGGAATGGGTAAATGAAGTTGCACAGAATGTGGCAAGAATAATACAGAGAAAAAACAACATTTCTTCGCCAAGGAAAGTAAAGTCAAAGTTGAGAGAATGAAACTGGCTTATGTTTGAAGGTAGTTCTCACTGCTCGCCTATACTACAACTAAAGTTGGGGATTAAAAATAAAGTAATAAAGTACTCCTGTGTGCATTTCTTGAACGCTGTACTGAAAGTGTATTTAACACAAGCATGCCTTGAATTATTCTAGGGAACATGCAGCCAACAACGTATCTTTCGCTACGGTGTTATTCCATGACCTGCTGTCACAGCTCGATGATCAATTTAGTAGATTCTTGATAGAAAACAACTTTTTGCTGCAACACAACATAAGGAAAAGCAAACGTAATCTTCAGGTATGCCCGCGGTATATGCCTCTACATTTGCTTGAATTGTTTCAGTAGCACAATCAGAAGCCTCTTAGCAAACTACCTTGCCATAAGGGATTTTCCAGAGGATGTGTGAGAATCCTAATTTAAAAGTGAGAGTTCAAACGCAGCTCCATTTTTAGTTTTAACTGGCTACAGTTAGAAAGTTACCATTTCATTACCAGCAGTTACAGTTTCTGAGAACTCTAGAAAAAGGAAAAGTTGTCATTTCTAAGGTGTTTCCTATACGTATTTGGAACGCTTACTCGAAGGTAGTTTCACTTGCCCCACCACTTCCCCAGCTGGTTTTCTTAGTGTTCTAATAAAGATCTGATGCAGAAGCAGCACAGGGGAAGAAATCCTTCCCATGTAACTGCAGAACTGTAGTTAATAGCAGAGGACTATGTCATGAGACTGCACTCCTGTGCTTTGTGTTGTACCGACAAAGATAAGGGCCAACACAATTGGTAGTCAGTGGCAGCACAGAACATATGCTTAGTGGACAATTATTTTTGTTAGTCCACCCCTCCTCTGTAGTGCTCTATGCCAGATCTTCCATAGAGTCACCTTCTCGACAGCCTATTACCAACATACCTCACCTCACCTCTCCTCACCACAAGGCCGTGACTAGGGGAGCATTTTCTGAGGAGAGGAGAACATGTCCAGGCTATATCAACAGTGAAAGATCAGTCAAGAAGGCTGGTGCAGCTCAGTAACCCCCCAGGACAGCACCATCCTGGGTGGAGCAGAGCAGTACTCAATCCAGAGCATGTTTCAACTTAGTATACATATAAAACAATAACATTGAATTTGTGTCCAACCTTGACTGCTTGTGAATAAATGGCAGCTAACATATCTCCTTTACGTTACTGAGCAAGAGCTGTACCTGTCAAACTAGAACAACCACTCTTCAAAAACAGCAAATATATTTCAAAGGTGTGGGAAGGTGGCTGTTAAGGAAAGATGAGCTCTCTGTAGGACTGTAGGGTACTATCTCAATGCTCCCAGTAATGTCTCTGGCCCTTTCCTATTGTTTTGTGCCGAGTTCCATCTCTTCATACACTAATGAGGTAAAATAGAAACTCATTCTTGGAAATAGTTACAGCTGTCACACTCCCTGTAGCCTGGAAGAATGCTATGACCAGCTTGTGCCCCAAGGCTCACACACAGTCACCTAATAATCTTTTTGCTAATTAGTTTACTGAAGGACAAGAAATTCTGGGCATGAACTTTGACAATAGACTGTCTCTAATGCCAGGATAACTTCCAAGAAGACCCAGTACACATGGCAATGATCATCTACAGCTGTCTGAAAGAAGAGAGGAAAATACTGAACAGTGCCCAGTTGTCAAGTCAGGTAACAGTCCTGGAGTATCTACTGCAGTTGTATCTGCAGTATCTTTTATGATTATTTGGGACAGAGTGAGTGGAAGACGAGTGAAAGAGGAAACAGGCTGTCCTCTTTCTGTCCAACAACATGTTTCATAAAGACAGAAAAGTGAACACTAATACGTACCAGCTGGACAGTGTGGCTTGTTTGTGCTGTAAGAAGCATTTGGAGGGGAAATGGCCAGAAAGTAATTTTTATTCCTTGGGTGATGTAAAAGGTACACTGTTGCGTTTATTTATAATGCTACTATAGTACAGCCTGATCTGTTAATCAGATTTTATTGCAATTTAATAATTAGTGCTTGCCTTATTTCTCTGGCAAGATTTTTAGCTTTTTTTCCTTCTGCATTTTACTCCCGAATTTACTCTGTATTAAGCAGCTGAGACTTAGTGCTTCTCTGGACTCTTCTAATACTTGATGTAGATATTACCCAGTCTTCAGGGTTGTTGTTTTCTTGAAATAAATTTAGAAGATACACAAAGATAAGCAAACGAAAGAATTGACTTGTGCAAAAAGAAAACACAGTATGTTCATAGCTGTGTATTGCTATGATGAAAAAAATACAGCATCACCACCCAACAGGCATTTTTAATTCACCATAGTTTCTTGCAGATTCACCTGAACTTGATTTTATATTGTAAAACATGAGTATGATTTACTGGAACAAGCCATGCTTAATCAGGCTGATGGTCAACAAAAGCCACTAACTTGCATCAATGAAAAAAATTACTTGCTGTCATAGGTCACTGGTTTGACTTTTCTTGTTTCTGCTTGCTTCCCTCAGATGGAAGTGGGGAGCATACAGAACACTGTGATTGGGATGCTGGACAAACAGAAGGAGCTTGATGCGAAAGTTAAGGCTGTAAAAAACAGCGTTATAGTAAGTATAGTAACACTAAAGTAGTGTTTTTTGATTCACAGATGTTGAAAAAGCTTTCTGTACCTAAGACTTTCTAAAATGACAAAACTAAGGTAATGGTTTGGTTTTCAAGTCTATAACCACTGTTTGTCTGAAAATAGAAAGTAATTATTTCTCAGTAGCACCATAATACAGGTTGGTATTTGACTGATTTAAGAAGATCAAATTTCTTGTGTCTGAATTTTAGCAACAGAAACATTTTACCCACCTGACATACTAGCAACTGAGGAAAAGCTCTTAAGAAATCATGTGCTGACCAATTTGTTGTTAACTGAAAGGTGTAGATTTTCATTTAGCTTTTAGACGTTTGTCGTAACAAGTGCTAACATGACAGAAAGCTTTTCTCCAAGCAGTACCTAAGACTGTGAGAGTTTGTTTATGTTTCAAGTTTCTCCACGGTAGGCTAGGTTCTCCTAAACTGTGTGAACTTATATGGCTAGATGATGAGGGCTTTTTCCATATTTAATAATTAATGGAATTTAATTGGCTGAGATGAGGGAGGGAGAGAAAACAGAAGGTGATTAAGCCTAGGGATATTTCCTGTTAGGAAGTTACAGGAAAAGGCATTGCTACAAAACTGGACTTCATTTCTGTAATGGGCTGGTACCAGGCAGTTCCTAATTAGGAGTGGTCTTACTTTACATGAAAGTATTGATTAATTCTGGCCACCTTCACTTGTGCTTTATAGGACGTGGAGCAAGACATCAAGACATTAGAGGATATGCAAGATGAATATGACTTTAAATGTAAAACCTTGCAGAGTAGAGGTGAGTAATTTATCAAGGACATACCCTATTGTATATAATTTGTAAGAGTAAACTCTGCTGTCTTATGTCAGGAAACGAAACCTAATTAATACACAGCCAAACTTACTGGTAATGGCCCTCCTTTATTAATTCTATTTTGATAATGTCCCTCCTTCATTAGTTCTGCTTTACTCTGAAACCTAAATTCCTGAAAATATGTTCTCTGCATCTGTCTGTTCTTACAAGTAAGAGAGACACTTTGTTAACACAGTATTCCTTTGTCCTTTACATCCCTTTGCTACTAGAAATAGCAAACCCTATAAACTCTGTGACCGTTCAACCACACACCTAAGTAGTACAAGTTTAGGCTTCTCTTTGCCATCTTTTGTTTCACAAATGCCTTCCTGCTTCAAGTTTTATAGACCTTTTTGTACTGACTACAGCTGTAGTCCATGCTGGTTTCAGTATATAGATCTGTCTCTCTTTTTGACTACTGTGTTCTAGAAAAAGCTTCAGTTTCCAACACAATTTGGCCATTAACTGTCCCTCAAAAGGGAGACATGTTCAGAAGACAATAAGGGGAGCACTGAGCCATGATTTTGCTCTTTGTGCTTGAGGGCAGGTAGTGTTTCCACGAGCCAGACAGGAACCTCTAACTTAAGGTCAGTAGGCAGCAGAGGTAGTAGCTAGGGCTACTGTCTAGGATCTGCCAGCCTGGGCTGTCCTCAGGAGGCTGTAAACATCATCCTTGAAATAACAGTTGACTTCTGTTGCCAGGTTAAGTAGCTTGAATGATTTGTGTCTGAAGTCAGCATGAGAACAAATTGCTCAGTGTGTATCTTTACACAATATTACCATTATTTTAAATCAGGTTCTTGCTCTAAAAAGCAAGCAAACTCACATCTTGGTTATTTCACTGGGATAATAGCTTTTCCTTGCTTTAGTACTTTAAGTGTAGACTGTGTCCTTTTCAGAAGGGGGAAAGGAGGAATCAGAAAAATCTAGGAGAAAATAAACATTTAGCTTTAAAGCATTAAGCTTTAAAGGTATACACTTGACATTAGCCAGGCAGGTCCCCTCCTCCTCACAGTGTTTCCCCCACCCATACTTCAGCACTCCTTCAGCCTCACCTTCACAATTTGGCCTTATTTTACAGAGCACGAGTCCAATGGTGTGTCACAGGAGGAATACAAGAAAGAACAGATGAATCTCAATAAGATGTTTTTATCACTTGACCTTAAGAGAAAGGTAGCAACTCAAGTTTTCTTTCAGAAGGCAACAGCACTTAATTTTGAAAATGTGTTCATTTTCACTGGATTGACATAACTAATTATATAAAGAAAACTTCACTACTATCAGTTGAACTAAGATTTCATTCTTTCAATCCTGACTGAAAACCTAGAATCTCTGTAAGCAATTTTATTTCTCTCCTACCAACTGTCAATGAAATTCTGTCAGGTAAAGCTAAAAGAATGGGAGAGAAAAGGTGTCATTATTAATAATCATGTTCTTGAGTAAAAAAAAAATTAAAAATTTGCAACTATATTAGAGTTAACTGTCCTCGGTCTCATTGCAGTGCTCAAATCTATGGCAAGCAGTGGGTGATCCCAGATATACACTTGGGACATACATGGATGTGAGACTGGGTCTCCAGAATTCAGTGACACTGAATAGGCTTTCTTTCTCTGCTTAATCTAGCAAGTACTCCAGCTAAAGAGAAGGAGGTGTTTATAGAAAACATCCTCTGTTAACAGAAACTATTACTTTGAGGTCCTTGGCAGAGTTTTGCAAAACAGATAGCATTAGCTAAAAAAATACATAGTTTTCCTGGGTGAAGTATTTTTAATAAACAGGGTAATTTGATATTCTCTATAGGAAGTGGTGAACAAGATAGTACAGCTGCTGAACAACACAGAGCACACACAGAGTGCTCTTATTAATGAGGAGCTGGTGGAGTGGAAACACAGGCAACAGACTGCATGCATTGGTGGCCCACCCAACGCTTGTCTTGACCAGCTACAGAACTGGTAAGTCTCTAGTCAAGGACTGCATTAGACACAAACTTGAAGTGTGTTATGAAGGAACACCTGATCTGTGAAATATGCTGATTTATATTACACATTATCATTCTGTTACAACGTAACTACATTTCACTGATTTTTATTACCTCACCACCTTTCCAATAAGCAAGAAGTGTTCTCTGTGCACTGCCTAGTCCTGAGGGACAGTCACCTGGCTTGTGTCTCAGCATTATTACAATACAAAAACATGCTACAAGTAATACAATTTGTGTAATTTTAGGTTCACCATTGTTGCTGAAAGTCTACAGCAAGTTCGACAGCAGCTCAAAAAGCTTGAGGAACTGGAACAGAAGTTCACCTATGACCCTGATCCCATCACAAAAAATAAACAAGTCCTGCAGGACCGAACATACAGTCTTTTCAAACAACTCATCCAGAGGTAACAGACAAAAAGGGTATTTTTATGTTTGCACGAATAAATGGATAGAAAGCACCTTCCCTTCTGTTCCCCCAATATTTCTTGCATGCTAACTTTCCATTTTCTAAGGTTTCCTTAAATTTGTCACAAACATTAAACAGAGTAAATATCAAAAATGATCCTTCAATCTAGAGTTTCCACAGGCCCATGGAAAGGGTTTGTGATCAGTCATCATGTAAGTTAGCTGGAGCTATGCTACCATATACATTGATTACAGAGTCAGACTACTAGTCTGTTAGTCTATTTCTTGCTTTAAGCTTCAGCCCTGCAAAGTTCAAGTGAATGGAGGCAAGAAACCATCTGCACCAAGCTGTGTCAAGATAAATACACACTAGATTCTCTGACCCTTTGTGTCTGGACACATCCTCTTTGGCTATAGTATAGGAAGGCCACCCCTATTTCTGTATGCATCTCTATGATGCAAGTTAGTGTAGCTGGTAGTTGCCCCACAGAGATCAGAGTTCCATTCTGTAAACATACAGTAGATAAAAGTTAATGCTGCAGAAGACTTGAATCTAGCAGATAAGAGCAGAGGCAGGAGGTAACACCCTGTTAGGGGGGACTAGAACCCAAGTTTCCAGAGTCCCATCAGATGCTTTGACCACTCGTCTTCAGTGGAAGTACCTGTGGAAAGCACAGGTACTGCTTTTCATTGAAGTGAAGGCAATGAGGAAGAGCTGTAGAAATCCAGCTGCTTAGTTATAAGTAAGATGCTGTTCAGTTATCTTGCCTGTGAGTATACTGGAAGGAAAAGTCTCTGTGCTGCCTATAACTTGGTAACAGTAGAAATATTTCAGAATTTATGTCCGTGCCGCATAGTGCTACACAAAAGGTGCCTGAGACAACAACAGCTTGGGGTGTATCAGAACAGGTTAGCCTCAGGAGTTTGCTTCGTGGGCTTAGCTAGCCCTTATCAAGTCCCCAGCTAGCTTATCTAGCTCCTGGGCATGTGTTGTTACATAGCACTGTCTCACAGCACTGCAATGGTAAGAATTTAGCAAGCCCTGGAATGGCAAACAAAGCAATACTCCTCACTTGTGTTATGATAGTCACATCACAGTGTTTACATGCTGTTGGATTTCAGGGAAGTTTGAGGTAGCACTCTCCCTCCTCAAGCCATCAACGTATTTAGGAAAAGGCAACTCTTATGAAATCAATTCGTACTTGCAATATATCTAGCCCCATTGATACAAATGAAAGAAACCAACAAAGACCTCCACGTAGATTGAAACTGAACAAATAAAATGTATAGTACTACTGGTACATCATCATTCTTTAAAGTTCACTTTTTAAATGTAATTTCTTATTCCTTAAAGTCAACATTGATAAATCAAAGTGCCTTTAACCTGTTCTTTTGTAGCTCCTTTGTGGTAGAGAGGCAGCCTTGCATGCCAACACATCCTCAGAGGCCCTTAGTCCTGAAGACAGGAGTACAGTTCACTGTAAAGCTGAGGTATGTTTTCCCCTTCCCCCTTCTTGCCTTGTGGTAAGCCTTTTGTGTCACTGGCTTCCTACAGCTGAGAGGGTGGCACATCTTCCGCTGTAGCCCAAGTGCTGAAGTCAGGAAGAGGGAAGTGCCACGTGGCAGGGGTTTGTCATCCAGCAGAGTTTAACTTGCTTTCAGCTTTTAACCTTTACCAGAAGTGGGGGGCATGGGTTTATAAGAAACACAACCAAGCAGCAGAAGACGCATGCAGACCACTTTGGTGTGCAAAAAGAATAACTCATTTGCCCATCTAGTTTCCTCTCTAAATGCTATCTTGTGCAGAGCAAGCTTGGAACCTCTATGTGGCCCTGAGTTGTGCAGCTTAAATACCAACGTGATAGAATAGAACCTGTCTTTTGCAATTGTAGTCATTGAAAAAAAAAATAATTTCTCTTTCCAGATTGCTGGTGAAATTGCAGGAATTGAACTACAACTTGAAAGTGAAGGTTTTATTTGATAAGTAAGTTGTATTTTTCTCTTGCCTGTGTACATTAATGGTAAGCAGCCCCCATGTTCAGAAATCCAAAAGGCAGTCATGTTTTATGTGTTGAGTCAGCCAGGAGCAGGCTGGTTCCTCATGGCAGAAGGTACATTCCCCCTTTTTCTTACCCATGGCCCTTGCCTTAAATCTGTCTCTGCCATTAGAGACACGTCACAAAGTACAGACTCCCTCAGCTTCTTGCCACCAGCTCCACTCAGGTGTGCCAAGAGGAGCTCACTACTGCTAAATCAGTCTAGGCATAGAGCAGCACTTGGGCACATGTGCACTGCAGAACCCCTTCTCTGTTGCCAATGTTTCACTTGGGCTAGCACTGCCAGTTCTCAGTCAGCTAGTAAAACAAATACACCCGCTTTCTGTCTGTGGCAGAATCTTTAAAAGGCTTTTATTTTGTCTTTTTTTTTTTGGCAGAGATGTAAGTGAGAAGAACTCAGTCAAAGGGTATGTAGCATCACAATTCGGTACATTAATGTTGGGTTCTTCCAATGAATTTGAGACTCTTAATTATTTTCTCTCTGTCTTCGTTTAGGTTCAGGAAATTTAATATTTTGGGTACAAGCACAAAAGTAATGAACATGGAAGAATCTACTAATGGAAGTCTAGCAGCAGAATTCAGGCATTTGGTAGGTGATTTTTTTTTTCTTTTATTGACATCCATTTAATTGTGTGGGTAGAGGGTGGGGTAGGAAGGAGACAAATTGGTTCTATTACGGAAGTAATTGTTTATTTTTTATATAAGAGGAACTGTGATCATCTCTGCTTTTTCTTTGTTCTTCTCTTTTTAAAATTTTTGGCTTGTTTCAATTGAAACGCTGTTGCTTTTGTTACTGAAATAGGGCTAGAAATGCAAACAAGAGTATTTGCTACAATACAACTTACATTGCAATGAGTTCTTTGTAGGAGGAAGGAAAAAAAAGCCAAGAAACTCTGGTTTGGGCCTTTCAGAGGAAGGCCCATAGGTAGGAAAGCTTGGAGTAGTTTGAAGAGCTCTGAGTCTGGAAGGTGAAAGCTTTTTAGGAATGGGCAGCTACAAGAAATTCAGTGCCTGGGCACACTTCTGATATGCAGATTGTGAGATAAATCAGATCTGTTCCATCATTACAATAGAAAAGAAAAAAATGCAAGTCCTGAACCAGTGAACTGTGGAAGTCTCCTGTCCTCCTTTCATTGTCCAGAACAGACCCTGTCTGGGGTTTATTGTCCAATTCAGAGGGATACTGTGATAAACCAGTATTTCATTTGCTCCTTCCTGATTTCACATTGCTTCTGTTCCTATCAGGCCTCTTATATGAAGGCATTACATCTTAACAGTGCAATATCTATTTTCACAGATAAATAGTTTATAAAAGAGTAGTAGTTACCTACAGTTTAATCCTTTGGCTTCCACAGCTTAGAACCAAATAGAATCAGACATTAGTGCAGCAAGTTTGCATACAGTTGAGTAACTAGAGCATGCAAACGTTTCCATCCTCTACCATTTTCATTTGTGGCTAAGGTAAATGAGTGACAGGGGGTTTTTTTTGTTCGTTTGCAGCAACTGAAAGAACAGAAAAATGCAGGAAGCAGAACAAATGAGGTAAGCAGTACTAACTTTGTTTGTAAAGCTTTCATATAACACTGAAAAGGCAGTCCAGCCACTAAGCCCCATGAAGAAACGCACAAGATGACAGATAAATAGGAGAGGAGTTCAGTGTTTCTAGGAAATTGTGTAGGAGGTGTCTACAAGTGAGAACTACTGCCAGAATGGTGACCCTCTGGACTGTCCGTCTCTGGCACCTAGCTTTTACAGGACTTTCTGCCTTCTAGGTAGGAGCCAAAAAAGAAAGAAAAAAAGGTGCCTGGAGAGTACCATTGTAACAGGCATTTTTAGGAAGTTAGCATTGGCACTTGACTTTGACCTGTAAACTGTTTCTGAGGTCTAAAGCAAGTAACCATAGGCAGAAAAGGCTTTTCCCCATGATACATCCCCTTACCTTTTCCCCGATACTTCCCCTTATCTTCCCTCCAAGCAATTCTCAGTCTCTGAAAGATGCTGTGTTTTTTTAAAGGGTCCTCTCATTGTAACAGAAGAACTTCACTCTCTGAGTTTTGAGACGCAGCTGTGCCAGCCTGGCTTGGTAATAGACCTAGAGGTATGTCTTAGGTGAAAACAGATGGACTTAAATTCCTGTATACCACTCATGTTATAATAATAAATTTTTTAAAAATTACTGGGATATCAAGCACTTTCAGTTATTTCAAAATATATGAATGACACTTTACAGTATCTCTGTATAGACACATACAGTGAAAATTCTGTCAAATCTCTGGGTAAATAAGAGTAGATGTGCTTTGCAAAGTGTCTGATAACCAGCCTGTGTTTTAATCTCTTTAGGTATCAGTTTATGTTTATTTGAGAAGCAGTATGTTATTAACTCAACCATTGTTACCAGCGCTATCATAACTGACACTAAATGAAAGTCTTTCTAGTACTTCATCATACTGACATTTTCTCTCCTACGTACAAACTTCAAGCAAAAACGTTGAAACCATGCAAGCAGGGAATTGCAGTGGGAATGGGTCTGTGGGTACTCTAGAGGAGGACTGCAGCAGTGGTACAGGGTAGTCTGACGTGTTTCCTTTTGTGTCCCTTTCAGACCACATCCCTTCCCATTGTTGTGATCTCAAACGTGAGCCAGCTTCCAAGTGGATGGGCTTCTATCTTATGGTTCAACATGCTGTCTACTGATCCCAAGGTATTTACAAAAAAAGTATCAGAAACACTATGTATAATTTTGAAACATTGTCTGTATAGAAGTGGCTGCTGCATTTTTTTTGCACAGTTGACTCTTAAGGGCTTTGAGATGTAGAGAGAGAAACACAGTCACTTCCCTATCCTAAACAGAGCCATGCTTGAAGCCCACATAAGGATAGTATGCATTATATTCAGTATACAGAGGGAGAAGCCAAATAAACATTCAAGAATTCAAATACAGTGTATTTGAGTAATCTAGTAATTCTGTCCACTGGGAGAAGACATGACCAGAGCAGAGTCCCAGAGATTGCTTCTCCTGATAAAGAGTGCCTATCAGGATAGCAGCCTGCTTTTGCAGAGTTGTCTCAAGCTGGCATCCATTCTTAAATCCACATTTTCTTTGGTAATACACTTTTATAGATGCGAATGGCATTCCAAAATTAATGTTTATGACTACAGATTGTATTTTTCCCTTCCATTCCAGAACTTGTCATTCTTTCTGAATCCACCCTGTGCGAAGTGGGCTAAACTTTCTGAAGTTTTGAGTTGGCAGTTTTCTTCTGTAACAAAGAGAGGACTCAATGCAGATCAGCTGAGCATGCTGGGAGAGAAGCTACTTGGTATGATCTGCTTCCATCACAGATGCCTTTTTGAATTGAAGCTAGTTCTACATCTTTTCTGCAACCTGTTTTAAGCTTTCATTTCCTCTCACACCTTTTCCCCTCATACTATCACAGCAACAAAGTATTTTCCAGTATGGTAGAGTTTGCAGATGAAGATTAAAAAAAAAAAAATCTGCAGTTTTCACTTAGGAGTTGTGTGCATTAGGGCAGTGCAGGCTACTTCTGCCTTTTGAAGAGCTACTTAAGTAATGCACATGTTTAGTCAATCTTTGAGGTGGCTGTTTCTTGGCATTGTTTTGTTTTTAACTCCGTCTCCATCATTTTTAACTTCATGCAAGCCCCCAACTACAGAGGGGGTTTACTCTTATCTGCATAAACACAGTTGCACTATGGAAGTGCAAACACTATGAAACTATTAAAGGGTATCAAATTGAACATCTCCTAGATGAGAGTCCTTAGTCAAAACCTAATCAGCCATGAGTTTTGTTTCCCAACACCTTGTCAATTTGCCTGATAGGCAGGGCACTCGACACTGCATCGTAGACTCTAGGTAAAAATACTGTTGATTCAGTATTCCACTAACCTTAAGCTTCAGGAAGCATTTATATTTAAAAGTATTTAACATTAGTAGGCCTAGCTGGTAAGTACAGCATTCCAGTCCCTAATTCTCTTCCTCTAATTTTCCAAAAACATAAGGTCTGACAAAAAGCTTACTGATTTAATAGATTACTTTTCGGAATTCTGCAAGGAGAGTAATTTAGTTAATTAACCATCTTGAAGACAAAGTAACCACTGACATATTTCTATGGCCAGCTTCATTTCAGAACTTCAGAGATTTTGTCAAGCTCTAGTAACAGTAAGGATGCTATTTAAATATTATCTCTACAGCTAAAAGCATTTCACTACTGAAAAAAAATCCAGGTAGCTGGACACTACATATTCAGAATTCCTTAATAGAAGGGGACACAGAACCTAACAGGGTGCCAGGATACAACTTGCCTATTGTTTTCGTGATGTGAAAGTTGGCAGAATCTTGGTCTCTAACACTAGCAGCATCAGAAGTGAGCTCTCTAACCTGATTTATTTTTGGGTGAGAGGGGGAAGGCAGCATATTTCTGACTTTATTGAAATACATAGCATGATCTGTAACAGAAGAATTTTGCTCTGAATACAGTCAGGGTCTGCAAAGCTTTAGCTACTGTAGTCACAGCGTAGTATTGTCTTTGTGGTTTGGATGAGTTATGAAACACTTGATGTAAAAACAAAGCAGGGGGAAATGATTGCAACAGGAATGAGATGAGTCTGTGGTTGGGACAGACCTATGAGTCAAGAGTTTCTGGGGCAAAAGCCTACAAATCACCATAACTGAGACAAGGAAGTGGTTCATTCCAGAAGGATCTTCTAGAATCCTCTGAGCTCCTACAGAAAAGCTTAGAGGTTGCAGTTTTCTTGTTTAGCTGGAGAAGACATGTGCAAAATTTCTGTCTCCTTGTGGTAACGATTTTGAAACTGGCAAGTGTTAGGGGTAGCACAGCATAGAAAGTGTCAGAATGAATTGGTTCCTGTTACACAAGGTCTGTTTGTATCATTTGGTCATTCTGATGCAGTGAACATCTCCAGAGGGGAACTTCTCAATCTCTCCCTGTACTAGCTGGGAAAATACAGTAGCTTTCCATTTCTTTTCTTTCTGAGTTGTAAATAAAGACTTGGTGCTCTAAGTACCTTCAGCCTTACTGGTAACTTATGGAACATTGCTAAAGTAAATTTATTCTATTCAGGGCCAACAAACGGAGGATTTCACGATGGCCTCATTCCTTGGACAAGATTCTGCAAGGTATGAACACAGTTTAAAAACTAAGATGGAAGAGGGAGCTTTGTCTTGGTTCATTTGGGTTAGTTGGTGGGTTTTTTTTGTTTTTGTTTTTTTTCCAGGGTGCTTTATTTTTCAGTAGTGTACCCAAATTATTCTAGAGCTTGCATGGTTGTGGGAGGTTTTGGTCGTGAGGTTAAAGTAGCAGCAGGAGGAAAAAGGGCTTGTAATAGCAAGGCCTAGGTTTTGGGATTGCTTTGAGCCACATAAACTATATAGAAAAAAACATTTTTCAAACACAGCATCTTCATTATTATTAATGTAGTTGCTATTAATAGAATAGTTCTCCATTTTAACCATTACAGAAAGCATAAAAAAAAAAAATCAGCAGACAGGCTATTCTTCTCTGTCATAGTGAAGGACATCTCCCAGACCAGGGGCAACTGGATTAGGGTGAAGATTAGCACAGGGTAGCCAAGAGAGTCAGCATGATGGCAGAAAGCCACATGAGATCTCATAACTGGCTGCAGCAAGACATGTTTTCTTTGGCTTTAGACCCTAAACTGGTATAGATAAGCAGGAAATGACAGCAGGAAGGGGCATACTCCAGGGGAAGAGCAAAGCCCTGGTGACCTACAAGCACTCAAGTTCATTAATATGGGCCTCTCAAAGATTTCGACATCCGAGTCTGAACAGAAAGTGTCTTTAAGCTGTTCTGCCAGCCAGCCCGGTTGAAAGCCCCATGGGATGGTTTGGGCATCCAAGAGCTCCAATAAGGACAGTGTCCAGGCAGGAGCCAGAGCCTTTTCTCTGCTCTTAGACCAATGTCACTGCATGAGGTGATGGATCACATGTTTGTGGATACTGTAGGCTCAGGCTGGCATTTTTCTCACACTGTCTCTTGCCTTACAATTCAGTACATACTTTATTCCCAATAGTTTCTGTCCTTCTGGAGTAGAGAAACAGAAAGGGAAAACACTCATAAGAGAACAGAGGGAGGGTGGAAGAGAATCAAGAGGGGAGAAAGAGATAAGAACAAGAAGATGCTGGCAGGGTTAAGAGCTAGCTTCCTCTGCTTAAAACTTGTGTTTCATTATCCCTGTTCTCCCCCCTCTCACTGCTGCCTTTCCATATTTTGAATTTCAGGAAAATATAAATGATAAAAATTTCCCCTTTTGGCTGTGGATTGAGGGAATCCTGGAGCTTATTAAGAAACACCTTCTGTGTCTCTGGAATGATGGGTAAGACTGAGTGAACTTAACAAAGATTGAGTCATTGCCTCAGACCTCTTATTTAGGTTCACAGTTGCATCCTCAGGTTGTGAAGTTGTTTGTGCAGATACTTTGAGTCCAGTAAAGTGGGACTTGTAGCAAGAACATCTGAAGGCAGATTAATTCTAAGGAAACCTCTAACAAGGCAACTGCTTGAAACAAAACTGTCAGATGTCCAAACTGTCCCATTTATGTCACAGAACTGGGCTTTGAATATTAGATTATTTTTTTTTTGGCTCTGCTCCTGCTGTAAGTACTTTCTTTCCATACCCTGGAACAGAGCCTCTTTTGTGTTTGACAGGGAAGACTGAAGTACAACAAAGTATTAAGTTGTAAAGTAATCATCCATCTTCAAAAAAAAAAGCCTACCCAGAAGGAAACATTATAGTGAGCATCCTGTAGGTGGCAGCCGGCAGGCTCCGAACCTCTGCATCTGTACTGAGTCTGGGAAGTGGCCTTCACTGATTTTAGTAGAGTATTATTAAGTAGGAAGGCTCTGCCAGATGGCAAACCGGTTTCATTTGCCCCTTAATTCTGGCTTAGTAAACTTTTGATTCTGTTATTGCCGATTTTAGAAGTAACTGCTGCCAGAAACAGGTTTAGCCAAGATCACAATCCTGCATTTTATGTTTAGCCACACTATGAAACCCTGTCAATAGCACACTCACAGTAGAGCATCCTAGAATGCAGGATCTACAACAGCAGGCTTGTCCTCTTGCTACATTCAACAGCAGGCTTCAAATTATTACCCCCTAGCTCCAGATGAACTCTATCAGAGCCCTTTATCGTACAAGCCTCGTTGCACTGCCTGAAACCTGTGTATTTCTTAGCTAAGTGGACATCAGTGCCATGGAAACTTTTGGCCACCATTATGGAAGCAGAGTTGCAGCTCTGTCCTCCTTGGTGCTCTGCCTCCATGTGGCTGTGGCAGGATGGTTTTCCCATGTGGCTCTGATAGTGTCCAATCTTGAGTAGCATTACTCATTCCTCTGTTATGAGAGCAATCTGCTAGTAAGGGGCTAACAGAAGGAAGAGGTGCAAGTTAAATCCTGAATGTAATCAAAACCAGAGATTTAGGACTATTAGTTTTTCCCTCTCTCAGCTGCCTTTGTTGGATAGTTACAGGTCTTTGTTTTCTAGAGAGGCAAAAAGGAAAACTGAAAGGAAAGTTCTTGACAGCTGCAAAGATAAACTTGAGTGTGAGAGACAAATCCAAAGTATTCATTAGGATAAAGACTCTCCTTGTGTACAAACAAATAAGCATTACAGCCCCAAGAACACTTGGCCTCTCTTCCTACTTGAGGGATGGGAAGGCAAAAGACTTTCACAGTACTTTTGCTACCAAACACATTTGTTACCTAAAGTATGCCATTAAAAAAAAAAAACAAATCACAGAACAAAAACCCCAACACAGAACAGCTACAGCACCTGAAATTCTAAGCAAAAATCATGGCTATTTAGTAGTTTTTGTGTAAAAAGCACTTTAGCCAACTTAATGCACAGAGGGACAGTAGTAGTAGTACTCAAAACTTCATTATTGATAGAGTATTTTGAGGAATAAGAAGCAATACAAGGAAATTTTCAAGTTTTAAAAAAAGCAGTTGGGGTTTAAGCAAGAGGTAGGCTGTGGTGCTGGCACGTACAGCTCCCTCCCCAGGACCTGTTCCAATCAATATGTTGTAATCACCATGTCGGTCACACAACCTTAACAGCTCATCTAAAACAAACCCCACACCTGTGTGGATGCAATCTGGTAGCTGGCAAACTTCGTTCCATCAGCCAAAAAGAAGAAACAACTATTCCTTAAGATATTTTTGAAGTTAAAGCCACTGCCTAGGGTATTCTGACCCTATTGCACACATACAACTTTACTCCCACAGCCCAGCTGTGACAGCAAAAGACAATGTCCTTTATTCCAAACTCCAAAAATCATTTGTATAAGCCACAAGGTAAAAGGAAGAGTGCTGAGGGAAGCTGTGATGATTCATGGCTTCCACAGGGCAGCTCCAGCCTGTCAGTCCTACTGCTGGCTTCCCAGCTATTCACAGGACAGAACCTTCTGTGAGACCTCTACAAGTACTTCAGCCCTTTTAGTGACAAAAGCTTTTTTAGTTTCCCTAGCTAGCCCAACACAGCTTAGATTTTATGTTTAGGAGTAAACTCAACTTTTTCTTTTCAACATTACAGATGCATCATGGGTTTCATCAGTAAAGAGAGAGAACGTGCTTTGTTGAAGGACCAGAGTCCAGGAACATTTTTACTAAGGTTCAGTGAAAGCAGCAGAGAGGGAGCCATCACATTTACTTGGGTAGAAGGATCTCAAAACGGTAAGTCAGTAACAGAGAACATCTTTGTCCTCAAAATACAAGCTTATATCAGAACAAGAAGTCTTTATGCTCATTTTCACACTGAGAACAAATACAACCCACCACCCCAGCAGTCCCCACCCTTACAAGCACCAGCAGACACATGCCTTACTTGGCATAGCTCATAAGCTACACATTCAATGTTCAAAGTTTCACCAGGACTAGTAACACTTCCCAGGTACTGCTTCTAGCCTGGAAGTTTGTTGAGGACAGACTGCCTAGACTGTCTCCTCTGCCTCCTTAGGTTCTCTCTTAGCAAGACACCTTTAGTACATAAACATCTGCATCTCCTTTCAAAGCCACATCACTTTCCACATCAGAGATTTCCCTCCCAGGAAGAATTTACTACAGACACATTCAGCCATCTCCACTGTTGTTCTCTCCCACTACTTCACCTTGTGTGCAATGCTGCTTTCTCAAACAGCTTTCTTTAACTCATGGTCCAACACATTTGTTCCTTCCCACATTCTTCCCAGATAAACCACATAGTCACTTACTTCATTTTTCCAGCAGTTCTCCTTCCTCCCATTTCCAAAACAGCAGCAGATGAAGAACAATTCTTCAGGTAGCTGACCTACTCTCCCACCATCTTTCAAGGAAGCCTAGAGGCTTAAGAACTGCAAAAAGATATAATCTCCCCTATATCCAATCAGGGTTCTTCCCCTCTCATACTACTTAAATCAGCCCCACCTGGCAGGATGCTGCAGCTGTTTATACTTCACTTGGATGAGCCCAAGACCTTCAACAGCTGGAAGAGAAACTGCTGAATGTACTTGAATGACTTGTTTCCCTTTGCTGCCTTCATGCCTAAGGCATCCAAAAATGGAGCAAAGATGGGTGACAGTATTTGGAGTGTTTAAGGAAGCTATTATCTGTCTCTCTTTATGATTTATAAGAGACCCAAGTGGTGCATTGGGCTCAAACTTCCTAATAGGCAATATAGTTTGAAGGATATCATTTGGAAGAAGGTTGAAAAGGTAGCACAATTTAAATCAGTTAATGAAATGCTGCAGGTCATTTCCATGGATCATCCTGAATACAAAATACACCAAGAACTAAATGCCATCCCCTCCATGTGCCTTCCTACCCCACAAAGCAATTGTGCTCCCTTTGACAATCATTAGGTACTGACCTGCAGCACAGTAGATACCATTCCAGTAAGCTCGTGTGACCTCTGAATTTGTGGAAGTAGCTGCACCTTTTCTGGGCAGCTTTAGAAAAAAAGCTTTGAAACTACCTTTAAAAGTCTCCTCACTTCTCGTTTGCAGAGCCCCAGTTCCACTCGGTAGAACCGTACACCAAGAAGGAGCTCTCTGCTGTGACTTTCCCTGATATCATTCGCAACTACAAAGTGATGGCAGCTGAAAACATTCCTGAAAATCCGCTGAGATTTCTCTACCCAAACATCCCCAAAGACAATGCCTTTGGCAAATACTACTCCAGGCCCAAGGAGGGTGAGTGCTACAAATGGCTCATACGGCCTCAGGGTGACGTTGGTTCCTGGGACACCTGGGCACTGTGTAATTCCTGTGGCGTGGACAGACAGGGCAGCAGCTGGACTGAGTGTCTCTGCTTGAGTGCCGCTCAGCTGAAGGGCAAGAAGAGGCACCTAAGCTTTAGAAGGTTAAGAAAATGTCTGTTTTTAAGGAGGCACAACATGAGATGTAGTCAGATCAAAAAGTGAGAACGTGATTGGAAGAAAAAGAATTGGAAGAAAAAATATTCAGATTAGATATCAGGAAGAAATTCTTTGCTGTGAGTGTGGTGAGACACTGGAACAGGTTGCCCAGAGAAGTTGTGGATGCCCCATCCCTGGAAGTGTTCAAGACCAGGCTGGATGTGGCCTTGAGCAACCTGCTCTAGTGGGAAGTGTCCCTGCCCATGGCAGAGGGGTTGGAACTCGATGATCTTTGAGGTCCCTTCCAACCCAAACCATTCTGTGATTCTATTCTATGATTGTTGCTGGCCCTCTAATACAGCTCTTCATGTCTGCCTGTGAGATAGCTCAGAGACATGGGTCCCACCAACAGCTGGACTCCTACTGGGCTGTTTCACAGGACTGATCCTGGCTGCGTGGGCCTGGCAGCGCATGTTGGTACAGCCACATCAAAACCAAGGGGAGGTTTTGTCCCTCATTTTTTGTAGGGGAAAAGCAAAAAAAGAAAATTTGACTAAAAAATGAAATGGATTAACCATAGTGCTGTAAAACGTATAAGAGGGAGACTTGTGTATTCTCTGGGTCACAGGCTTTATTTTTGACAAAATAAAGATGTCAATGTGAGGTAAACTTGCTTCTTTTTTTTTTCCTCTCCTTGAAGCACCAGAGCCTATGGATTTGGATGGCCCCAAGGGAACCGGCTACATCAAGACTGAGTTAATCTCTGTATCTGAAGTGTAAGTTTCCACAGAAATGCTGGATTTCTAGGAAGTGATAACTTTTTAGCCGTAGTTCATGTATCTTTATGATATTTCAGGCATAGGTGCTGTTGTCAAATCTTTATCCTCTTTCTCATTGAGGGTATGATCACACCACGTTCGTACAATGCTGTGTTTGAAACACCATTTTTAGGTAAAAACCATAGAAATGGGCAGGTAGTTGTTCTGGCAAATAATTCTTTGAAAAGCAAGTTCATAAAGGCTTGTTGGACTTCGATTAGAAAGTAGATCACTGACTAGTCTTCCCAGTTTTCATTTGAAGCCATGCTGCTTTTGCAAAGTGCATTTTTCACATGCTGTCTTCTTCACAAGAAGAAGACAGCATGTGAAAGAGACCTTGCTAGTGGCCCTTCAGGACTTAGAGCCAGACATGGTAGCCCAGCTGTGCCTCACTTCTACTGAAGGTTTCTCTCTGCTCTCCTCCTTCTCTAGCCACCCTTCCAGGCTCCAGTCTCCAGAAAACCTGCTCCCCATGTCTCCTGAAGAGTTTGATGAGGTGTCTCGGATGGTGGGCTCTGCAGAGATTGATACAGTGGTACGTATCACAGACCCTTCTGCAAGAGGGTTGAGCCAGAACGTTTCTTTTCCTTTTTCTCCCCTTCAAACATACATCAGACACGTGAGAGCCACTCACACTTCAGAACACGTCTCTTCAAGTGTGTAGGAAAAGCTGGGAATCCAGAGTTAGACTCAGGTTGCTATCACTTGATCTTTCCACTTGTTTAGAATCACAGAATGGTTTGGGTTGGAAGGGGCCTTAAAGATCATCTAGTTCCAACCCCCCTGCCATGGGCAGGGACACCTCCACCAGACCAGGTTGCTCAAAGCCCCATCCAGCCTGGCCTTGAACACCTCCAGGGATGGGGCACCCACAGCTTCTCTGGGCAACCTGTTTCAGTGTCTCACCACCCTCATAGTAAAGAATTTCTTCCTGGTATCTATTCTAGATCTCCTCTCTTTCAGTTTAAAACCATTCCCCCTTGTCCTATCACTCCACTCCCTCATAAAGAGTCTCTCCCCACCTCTCCTGCAGGCCCCCCTTTGGGCACTGGAAGGCTGCCATAAGGTCTCCCCAGAGCCTTTTCTTCTCCAGGCTGAATAACCTCAACTGTCTCAGCCTGTCTTCATAGGAGAGGAGCTCCCCTCATAGGAGAGGTCTGTGGGGACAGGGGTGAAGAACAGGAGAACAAAGCTTCCAGTGTGTGTTTTGCAGGGGAGGACAGGAAGGAGGAGGGCTGTAGTGCTTCCCGTGGGGTCTGGGTGGGGAGGGAAGCGAGAGCAGATCGTGCAGCTTGGAAGCCTTGCCCTTCCCCAAGCCTGTGAGATACTGCCAGTAACTGAGCAGGTTAAAGTGTGGTGCTTTGTTCTCCTCAGGGTAGTTTGATCCTAAAATGCAAATCTGGTGCTATTTGGGGAAGACCTGTCTGTGCTCTGTGGTTAGCAAAGGCTTGAGTATTAGGGCTTTACTTGGCTTAATTGACATGTACTTTTCCTGTTGCAGATGTGTTCGGCGTATTCAACTTAAAGGCTGAGCTTTTTGCTGCATCATTAACACAGCTGATTGGCTTATGCATCCCGCTCTGCAGTCAACGACTCGGTGACACGCTCCACTTCAGTTCTTTGGTTTCTCAACCTGAAGGTTCAGTAGCAATTTTTAATTCATGGGAATGTAAACAGCAGTCTGAGTAGCCTCTCGCATGCACTTTTTTTGTTTAGAAGTTCTTTGTTAAAGAATTTCCAGTTATGGAGATACCATGCCCGAGCGGAGGAGGAGGGGAGGATAGGAAGGAGAAGTCCTCAGTGAAAGTGATGGGAGAAACATGCATTTTTTTGTTTAAGGCAATTAGTTAAATGTAATGTTTAAAATAGTTGGCAGTACATAGGCGGCTTCAAAGCAAAGCTGGTTCTTCTGCAGAGGTTCTGGTCAGAAAGCTTGCCCCTTCTGCTTAACTACTTCTGAAGAACTTTCACAGCTTTGAATTGTCATCTGCATCACAGAAAGGAGAGGAGAAACACTGCAGGTATATGCCACATAGAATCCATATGCTGCTGAAGTTTTCCTGGTTTCATCTTTTCTATGGCATACTGAGAGAACATAAGCCAAAAACGTTATCTGCCTTTCATTTTGGCTTGTTTCTTAAGGCAAGGTCTTTCTGTGTAGGATGTTTAGCACAACCTTCCTCATAAAGAGCACTTCTTAGGACACTGTCTTGAGGCTGTATTGGCACACGTTGGGCTTGCAGCTCAACATGTACCCTACAGACCGTGGTCAGGCTGTCTGACCTACTCCTAAAGAGGGCAAAACCGGTTGGAGGACGTTTTCACTCACGGTGATTTGATCCCTCATATCTTTTACAATAATACATGTCCCATTTAGGTTTTAACAGGTGGAATGGAACTTAATTTTCTCATGCAGTATGAATCAGGGCATTTCTGTAAGTGTTGATTTGAGCTAGAAGACCCGACGGGCTTTGATGACGAAGCGGTTTTGCAATTAGGGGTGAGGCACAGGATGTACTGAGTAACGGCCGCAGGATGTGCAGTCTTTAGTGCTTGAAGGATGAAGCTGTGCTTCCACCAGAGGAGGAGCAGAAAAATGTAAAGGACCTAGACCCTGCAACATAATTATTTAAATAGAAAGGATTGATGAACTGACTTCTTTTTGGTACCCTGATTTACCGAGGTTACAAATGCTACGGAGTATCACAGCTGGTGACTTCATGCTTTTATGTAGCTGACTGTGTATCTTTATTGTAATATAAAAAACAAATATTTGTTTCTTGAGCTACACCTTGTACTCATGTTCGTTTTAATTACTTTTGTACTCACCAGGGCGAAATTTGCTTGTGAGACTTAAAGCAATGGCCTTTTTGATGGTTTTGTCTTCGCACAGCCAATACTTCTAAAAGCAATGTTTTTTCCCTGATGGAATATTCTTTAGCCATTTGAAATAAATGGAACTGTCAATTGAAACTTTTGTCCTTTCTCTTGTGTTTTTACTACTTCTATTATAAAGATGATGTGTCTGCCAATAATTGATGTCATTTAAAACTCGTTTGTGCAACTGAAGCATTAGAGCTCCGAAGCCTAAGGCAGTACATAGATGCTTTTAATTCACTGCATTGTTGCAGTCAGTCTGCATTACGGGGCACTTGAAAGGTGGCTCTTGGAGTAATTATTATTTTTGTTATTGCTTATATCACATCACTGATTTATTTTTTTCCTTCCCCAGTCAAACGTCAATAAACTCAACTTGATCTTCTACTTTGAGTTGATCAGTAGGGTAACTGATCTATAGCTAAACTTTGTGAGCTATCAAGCTTGCCCACCACTGTACCCTTTTTCTCTGGGGCTATTAAGTGACACGCATTTGTCAGGCTTTTGTATTAACCACACAGCCAGAAGGATAATGAAAGAAACAGGTGGTGAGATGAAAGACAGCAGGAGTGAAGAGCAGGCAGGAGAAAGCTAGAGCTGTTGAGGGCACGTGGCCAATCCACTTAAGAATCCCAGCATTAATAAAAAGCAGCCAGTGAAAGGACAGAAGTATAGGGTTTACAACAAAACAAAGCTGCATCAGATAAACTCATTCTGATTTCCTTTAAGCTCTGCACAAAGGAAATGACCAGAGCAGGTTTTAAACAGTAGTCACAGAGAGAACCAATAAGAACCACCACCATCACCATCTCGGTATTTCCATTTATTATGCTGTAAAAAGCAACACTATCTGGATTTTATTTCTTAAAATAAATAACTTTCATTTTCAGAACCAGTACAGCTCAAGTTTAGATTCATTCATGGGAAACTGCTAGAAATACATTCATCACTGTCTATTCCCCACAATACAGAATCTAAAAGTCAAGATCAGCCCAGTCAGTTACAATGACCAGAAATACACTGCCAATAAGTATAGTCACTGATAGTCCAGCTCTGAAGCAAAAAAACAAACAAAAAAAATATCTGGTACAATACATTTTGTTCACAAAGATAGGCTAATTAATGCTAAGACTATCACAATATTTCTGAGTACAAAGCATTAAGTTAGCTTAATGATTTTAGGTTTGGATACAGAAGAAACATACATGACATAAAAACAAAGGTGTGGGGGAATCCTCTTTGGAGCGTAAGGAAGTCAGCATTTGATAAGATAACCAAAAAGCCATTTACGGTAAAATCTACATGTCAGTGTCATGAATGATAAACAGCCCAACCGATGTACTGCATATATTTCTATTTATAAATAACGCCATGTCTAAGTAGCTGCGTCGCTGAATTGGACATTACAAAATAACGCCTCTTCTCACGAGGAGAAAATACTAAAACTAACCAGCAAAAATGCACTGAAGCTAAGACTGGCTAAAAGCGCTCCGTATGTCTCAGGAAAGCAGTAAATTTAGGGACAGCCATGATCTTTAACGCTAACTCAGTTAAAATGCCTTATTTTGGTTCTTTGTATATATGTAGATTATATAACATACTTATCTTTTAAAAATGCCAGTTTGAACAATGCGAGTTTCAGTTAAATAAAGCTAAATCGGGTATTTTTCTGAGAAGCTAAAGGATATGTTTTAATAGGGGGGGAAAAAAACCCACAAACATGGAAGAAGTCAGATTAGCAGTAGGATACAGAATACTAAACTGGAACCCATTTGTAAATATTCCTCTACACTGAAGCTGACAGATCTGTTGCCAGAGAAAACATCTTAGAACTTTAGTCCCGGGTGCAGCAAAGAAGAGTCTTGTGCTACTCAGTGACCAGCGTGGCTCAGTGAAGAGCCAGAGGCCACTCTCTTTAGTTCATCATTAGAACGAAGGTGGCTGTGACACAGGACAGGAAAAGAATGAGTTAAAAGCCTTCAGAAAAATAGCTGATCTTCAGGGGGGAAAAAAAAAAAAAGAAGAAAAAAACGAGTTAAAAGCCTTCAGAAAAATAGCTGACCTTCAGAGGGGGGAAAAAAAAAGAAGAAGAAAAAAAAGAAAGAAGGGGAGGGGGAAAAAAAAGCTGCTTAAGAACAGTATAAGAATTCTTGAGAAAAAGTGTTTGATAACCATGCCAGCCAGCCTGAGGGGGGAAAAAAAAGCTGCTTAAGAACAGTATAAGAATTCTTGAGAAAAAGTGTTTGATAACCATGCCAGCCAGCCTGGAAATGTGATTTCAGGGCTTTAGACTTTCAGACTCTTCCAAGATTTCACCACCATGAAGACAGTCGCTGCTCGTGCTGAGTATCAAGCACCTTTCCCTGTGAGGTGTCCTCCGGGAGGGAGGCAGTATGGCGTATCCACCAGAGACTCTACAGGAGCTCCAGAGGGCTCACTCTCAACTGTACTGACCTGCTGGGTCACCCTGGAGAAGTGACTTCTCACCCTGCCTTGGGGCACCCGTTTGCAAAAGGAGGATAGTGTGGTTCAGATCATCTTTATAAAGTGCTTGGGCCATTCTAGAAAGAATTTGGACGTTACTTCAGAGGGACTTTGGTGCCTAAAAAGAAAATGTGAACTTTGAGATCCACTACTGACTTGTACGCTGTGTGCTAGGACAAAAATAGCCACATACACCATTCTCAAGCACAATCTCCTTTTTCCATGCACTAAACAATTCTTGCCTAAAATTCTTGTGCGAAAATCCTTGCTTGTGTCCAACAACTGTGGTGTTTTGTGAAAATAAAAAAAAGAAACTTTTAACTTCCAAGTGAGACTGCTCACTTGGAGGTTTTATGCCACAATATTGGCAGAAGCAATTGCACAGGGGACAGGGAACTGTCGTAACATTGTTTGTACTTCTGCAAGTGACAAGTATCTGCATCTACATTTCCCTCAACGGGGCAAGCGCCGAGCTGGCGTCGGTGGCAGGACAAGAAATGCCACCAATGTTCACCCACAAAAGGCATCACCCGCTTGTGCTCCTGATGCTGAACTCCTGTTCTACACCAGCAAAACCCCACCAATGCAGCATCCTGCTCCCTGGTTGATGGTAGTGCAAGAAGAGAACACACCCAATAAATTTGGCTTATCTCCTGCTCCGCTCACGCTTTGATTGGCTCTATGCTCCTTAAAGCTGTTTCACTCCATCCGTGTTCCTTATCACAAGCCTAAATGAAGTCAGATTTAGATGCAGTATTTGGTTTAGTTCTTTGCCTTTTTATACTTCCATTCCCCTGGCTGGGTCCCGGTGCAGCCACCACGGACCCCACACCTGAGCCCAGGAGGGGCTTTGCAGCTTGCCAAGGCTTGTGGTAGTGCAAATAGAGCTGTGAGGAACACCACGGCCCAGAGTGGAAGCACCCGCTGTCCCCAGCCATGGGGGAAGCTCTTTAGCAGCTGAACATGGAGAGAGGAGGGAGGTGAGACAAAGGGAACTGAAAGAAATGCTTCCAAAACAACAACAAAAACCCAGCTAAACACCGTGTGATGTTACAAGTCACATTCTCCTATGCTATTTGGTCAAACAAACCTTAAAACAGATTCCCTGACAAGACTATCTCTAAGAACAAGCCTAGACCATTGACAACTGTCACTCTTTTGATATTTATATTATGTAAACAAGGTTGTGTGGAATTTTTTTTTTATGTTTTATTTTTTTCCCAAAGATAAGTGCAGATCCTTACTCAACACACCCAGCCTAAATCTACATCAGCATCCTCAGCTTCTGAAAAACCTCACTGACGCTCACACCCGACAGTACTCTGGCTCATCTCGGCCATACTGGAAACAGAGGGCTATAGAAACAAAAATGCAGCAGAAAAAAATTCCTGACCACAGACTAGAGTTCACACAGAACACAAAAATAAATTAAGTAGTGCACGGTAAAGCCAACAACAGCTAAATATTTTTATACATCAATTATATGCAGCATGAGGTAATATTGCTCACATTATGGAGGGAGATTCTTAGTTGGTTTTGTTTCTTTTGAGAGAGATTGGATTTGTCCTGTGCGTATAGAAACTCCTGTAACATAACACTGAAGTAACAGAGACTTCTGTAAAATATATACCACTATCAGATAGAAACACACACGCTCTTCATTACTTATGTATACCACAATTAAATAGGTAAGTGATTTGATTCTTAGGATCTAGCTGAAGATGATTATAGTAAGCCATCTAGATTTTTATGAACCGTTCGGTTCTCCTTTCCGTCGTTGGAATCCTCTGATGGCGTGTATTGGACCTGATATTCTTGAAGAATTTTAAATACGTCGTGGTGTCCAAAATGTAAAGCTTCATCCATTGGAGTGTTATTCCACCTACAAGGAGGAGCACAGTATTTCTGAGATCAGCACTTAACTGCAGAGCCAAAAAGCACCAAAAAAAAAATCTAGTTCTTTACAGATTTTACTTTTCTGCTAATAATTCAGCACACAGACCACTCCGAGCTCAGGAACTGTGGAAACACTTTGGAAGTTGAGCATAACCTTTTAAAAGTAATGGTTTTAATGGTTCACCATTTTTTATTCCTGCTCTGTCTGCAGAGCTTACGGAGAACCAGTAGCACCCTGCTCCTTCTGCTTCAGCCTACTGGCTCCACGTGTGCCACTCCTATTTGACAGACACTTCTCCTCACAGGGGCCACAGAGATGCCCTTAGAGCATCCCTCCTCCAAACCGGCAATAGGACCACTCACCTGTCTTTGGGGAAAGGGTTCACTTTGCATGCTTCCAGCAGAAATTTAACGACGTCCACATGTCCTATAAGAAAAGCAAGACTGTGAGTGTCCATAATTATATACCTCTCTATGTATAAACATACACAAATTTTTAGAAAGCAGGTATGCATGTATAGAGAGCGAAGATACTGTAAAGAAAACTGACCACGCTCCATTAACAGAGCAAATCCCACATGAGGAGAGGTTACCTTCTGCAGCTGCTACGTGCAGGGCTGTCCGTGAGTCATAGTCTCTCTGTTCCATATCCATTCCTGACAGAGCAAACCTAAAAAAAACCCAACAAAAACCCCAAGAAAAAAACCCCACGATTACAGAGAAGTCTTACATAATTAAAGCAAGTTACAAAGCTAGCACGGAACAATACCCCTCTGCTCAAATGACAAAACATGTCCTGCAGGAGGCTATAAACAGTTATCAACAGCACATCCTACCTTCAGTTCTAGCAAAAGGGGCCCTTAACTGCTTTGGCTCTAAAAATAAGTTTGAGGTTTAAAACTCCCCTGTGATCTCTAGTTATTATAAGGAAAACTAAAACAAAAACACCTTTGCAGGGTTCGTAATGGTCAACTTATCCGATTTAAAAATCTAACCAGGACAAATAAGTCAAATAAGACAAAGTAAATGTACGCCAGCTGAGGAAACCCAGGAAGGACTCTCAAGTCTGAAAATCCTGAACAGTGTTACAGTTCTTTCTTTGGGAGAGTTCTTTCATCACGCTACAGTGCTCCAGGACAGCAGAGCTAAATTATGCACATTTTTCCAGCCACCAACTATATTCAGGTATATTTTAGCCACATTAATATGTTTATTTAGTCTCTTACTAAGATTACTATAAACGCTGCCAGATTCTCCTCCAGATGCAGAAAGCAGTGTGCATTTTCCAGCCTTTTTTTTTTGTGGCAGTTTAAGAACTGAGCTATAAAGCAGGCTAGAGCACAGCTAGGATTTTCTGCCATCACTAGAGAACAAGTGGTTAAGGAAATCTATTTCAGTATGATCCAAAGAAAGGGAAAACGATGGGATTTCAGGACAGTGTGAGAGTACCTTATTGATGGTTAGGTTTGGGGGTTTTGTTTGGTTGGTTTGTAGGTGAACATATTCAATCTCCAGTGCAGCTCAGATGTCCCCAACATGGACACAGTGCACATTCATAAACAAACAGCAGCAGCAGGTACCACACCAGCAGCTTCCCTATTCCCAACCCCACACTGATTTTTACCTTCGGAGTGCAGACACATCCCCCGTGTAGGCAGCAAACAGCAGATTTATCACAGACTTCACCTACAGAGAGAGATGAAGGCCAGTTTATTTAGCTTCTTTTCTCAAAAAGAAAACAAATGGAAAATCCACAAAAAGCCCAGCGTGGCCAGTAGGTCCAGTGCTTATGAACCTGTTAATTTTATCCCCTTCCTGGTCACATTTTGCAGTGTAGAACACTGGAAGAATTCATTCCAGCTTGCTTTGCTACCAGTACGTGTCTGTCTGTCTTTCCAATGCTGAAGTCATAAGGACAGTAAAATAATCATTAAATGAGCATTTCCATTTACTGTGGTTAAAAAAAACCAGAAGTGCCTTGCTTTATGGACAAACCATATTTCTCTCTTTGATTGCCCAGTGATACCAAGTATTGAAGTACAAGGACAGAACCACTTGGCACAATTCACAAACCAGAAACACCTTGGAAGACAAACTCATTCTGGAAAAGCAAGAGAGGGTTTTTTTGGGGATGGGGTGGGGGCTTTGTTTTGTTTTGATTAAGGAGACTTCTAATACTAAAAGAAATGCACGTTAGCAGAAGAGAAGAAATGTATACCAGTTTTGCTTTGTATCACAGGTTTTCCTTGGATACATCTAATATAGAGGCTTTCTCCAAATAAACCATTTTAAGCAATTCTATCACATAATGAACCACTACAAAAAAAGCAAGGTTTCGAGGCTGACAGAAGTACAATCTTTTTAGATCCAATAACATCGGTAAAGTCTCAGGCAAGTAGTGCTTCTCTCAGCTGTATTAATGAGTAAGAAACCATACTGTTAGGCTACCAACTTCAGCCCACGCACATTTTTAACACATCCTGACTATAACAACTCTAGAAGTTTTAGCAAGAGGCAAAAGTGACAAGACAGATGGCTTTAAGCATCCCATCTCAGCCTCTTTCATAAACCGATATGGCCAATTCTAGGCACCATTTCACAGCATTTTCCAGTAAACTTTCTAAATGCTGTGTTGCTTTTTAAGTTGAGTCTACAAAGTTCTGTTGCTGCTACCAGCCAAGTAACAGAGATAAAGGAGAAAACTGATGCTGCAGCGACCTTCCACAAGGAGGAGGAGAAACAAACATACAAATAAATAATGAAAAAATAAAAATCACCGCCCACAAGCAAGTCTCCCACAGATTTCTGCAAAAACACTGGCATATTTTCACAGGGCCTCAGACGAGCCAACATCTGCGCCTCCTATAAACCCAAGTAGTGGAATTGCTTGTTATTTTTTTACACCTCAAATATGCACTGACGCAAAGAGAGACTGAAGCAAAAGGAGCCAGAGCCAGGACGGGAAGAGAACCACACTCCTTACTCAAGCATCCACAAACCCCTGCAGCTCCTTTTCAGTCTGCACTATGAGGTGCACCAGGAGCCTTGCACAGCAAGTGTGAGACCTGCTTGGCAGGACCTGCGGGTCTCCATCCCTCCTCAGGGGTCCCAGCATCCCCCAGGCTGCTCCTAAACCACACTGGCCCTGCAGGCTGGGCCCCTGGGCTCTCTCAGCACAGAGCCCAAAGCACCTGCGTCACCTTTAACTGTGGCAAACCTGACATCATTCTCCAGACCCTCCTCACAAGCACTACAGAGCGTAGATCTGAAGCAATCCTGTTCCTCCCATGAAGATTTTTTTGTTTAAAGCCTCTGAAAAAAACCCACAAACAACCAAAAAAACCCCCAAAACCAGCAACCAAGAATCTTACAGCTCATCACCGTGGGCTCTGCTCTGGATGCAAAGCCAGCCAGCTCTGGCTGAGGCCACTCACCTCTACAGCCCTTTTTCTCCTCCCCAGGCCACCCCTGTGCCCCACAGCCCGGCTCGCCCCCTCGCAGCCCCCAGCCCCATATGGCAGGGACAGGACCACGGGAAGGAGACGTTAAGAGCATCCTGCAGGGATGCTGCCCCTCATCACCCTGTGGCTGAGAGAAGGAGCCATTAAGAACATCCTGAGGGATGCTGCCCCTCATCACCCTGTGGCTGTCGGGGACGCAGAGACTTGCATCAGCGAGGCCTTCAATAGAAAACACCCCAGTCACACCAAAACATGAAAACCTCCTAAAAGGATGTACATCTTTTATAGATACTAGGCTGCAGACTGTGTTTAAGCACAGGCATGAAAGGGAAATCTAGTTTGATAATTAAGATGGTTCAGGAGTTTTCCTTGCTGCGAGAGAAGCTGAGCACAGCTCTACTGCTGGTGGACCCGGCTGGTCTCACTCGGGCAGTTCAGGTGCCACAGGTGCTGAATGCTCTCCCCTGCTCAGGATTGAGGATGAACAAAGGACATTCTGTCTTTCACAAAAAAAACATTTAAGAGGTAACCCATCATTTTGGCCGGGATTCTTTACGTTTCTGGGAAATGCAAATGTGTATTAAAATAATAAAATAAAAATAACACGCATTCCTTTCTTACAAAAAATAACTTCCAAGTGCAGCTGGGGCCAAGAATCCTTCCGGATTTAGCTGAACATCTTGCTAAGAAGCCATTTTCTTTTTCTATAATGATGTGACAAAATGTAATTTGCAGACTCCCAAAGCTTTCTAACACAATAATCATAGGCCATGCCTAAAAGGTTAAAGCCACTCCTTTCTTAAGATAAACAACATAAAAGCCAAAGTAACATTATTATAAAACTGAACTTCTTGACAGATCAAGACAAAAGGAAATTTAACTCCAGACACCAAGAAAAATCTCCGCCTGTTCAAGTTCAGAAGAAGGAAATCTGAGAGGAAATACAACTGCTCTCTGTACAACAGTAAAGATAATGGGATATGCAAAGTAGGAGAAAAACAAGTTTAGCAGGACAATAATTAGCAGAATAATTACTCAGAACTGGTCAAGAATAACTCGAGTTGGAAAAAAGAAAGAGGGTAGCCATCACAGCTTAAACACACACCCCCCCCAGCTAAAACCTGCTGCCATTTCAAGTGAGACTTTAATGCTTTATGAAAGAACTAATTGGATGTGCCAGCAACAAAACACACCTCAACTCTAACTTCACTCTGCTCTATTGGCAGCACAGTCCAGAACAAAAAATTAACAAATTTTATAAGGTGCAAAATAAAATTGCTCAAAAGGCAGCCATAAACAACAAATGTGGTCATAAAAAGTGACTTCATGAATAAAATTTTTAAAATCTGCAAATAGAAAACACATTTTGAATGCCAACTAAGAATATACAGCTTCCATGAGCACTCTCTGGAACATCCCTTAGTTTTCAAGAGACTATTAATCTAAGTAGCATATATATTAAACCATCATGTTGCCATTTACATTGAGAAAAAGTTATTATGTGAAAATAACTTGCTGCCAGAAACTTTGTACCTCCACAAAAATCTTACTTAGGCAGCCATAAAATCAGGCACAATCAAGGCTTCAAAAACACAAATAAAAATTCTCTGCCCCAAAACTCACAGCTTACTACCCTGAAATAACAAGTCCGTTGCAAAAAACAAGAGCCAAAGAAACTCTGAAATGGGAGCAGCAAACATATAATTGTGGGTGTTGTAACCGTAGGTGAGAAAAAAGTAACAGTGAAGATGACAGATGAGCTGTATCTACTCTAAGTAGGGCACAAGGGACGAGGCAACTAATTTAAGTGTTTAGAGACTGCCACCGAGTTTCTCACTGAGTGATTCATTATCTTCTATACACCACGTTCAGTATTGGTGTTTCCGTTAACTGCACTGATGAACAGTTTTCTCCTTACCTTCAGAAAGGGGAAAAGAAAGTCTTCCTTCAACCCAACAGCCATGAATTATCTTTTTCTACTGCACAGAATTCCTTAACTATGAGAATTTAATAGAAGGAGGAGGGATGGAGGCTCTTCACTATATATGAGGTGGATCAAACAGCTGTACGGTACCACACTCAGAGAAGAAAGTTCCACCTTTTGTCCAATGGGAGATAAAACCTGCACGCACCATACCAGAGGAACCCGACAGCTCTCTGGTCACCGTGGCAGAAATATAGGGCATGATGAAACCCTTGTTATCCAGGTGGTGAGACCAACAAGGAAAGGTTCATCAGGAATGTTTGTGTCACCCAACATTAAAGATCAGAACTCCCAGACCACACATGTTGTATTTTCACCTTCAGGTTAGTAGGTGTTAGAGGTCTCACACTCAGCTGGATGAAGTTATGATTGACTCAGTCTAGTGCTGGCAATGGTCCCACTTCACATTGGAGGTGGCAACGACCTCCAGAAGTCCTTTCCAACTAACCATTCCACGAATCTGCGGGTAAGAACGTGAGCAGCACCAGAAAAAAAAAATATAGAAAAATCAAGAAAGACTGTTGCTGCTGAAGAACTACATTGAGGTCAAGTTAAAGGAAGGAAGCATTCGGAGTTCGGAGCAGCAGGAAGTCACACGGCTGTGGGAGACATTTCAGATAAACACGGGGGGGGCCAAAAGGGGAAAACACCAACCCAAAACCCCAAAAGGGCAAACCAAGTGAGATACGGCATTGAAAGTTACAAAGATAAACACAGCATTAGAGTGACTCTAAGTACAAAGCTTTCATACTGCAATTATTTTAAATATCTCCCAAGCCCAACTGCACTAAAAGTTTTGAGGGAGTCTCCTTCCAGCAGCAGGATCCAGATGTGAAGCCAACACCACCCCAACGGCAGAGGCACAGCAGAACACAAGGCTACCTCAGTGCTTCAGGGAACACGTACCCAGCACAGAGCAAGGACACTGCTGTCCCCCAGTCTCTGTAACACACGTTGTCCAAGTACTTTGGAAAGACATGACAGCTTTTGTGTTTTGTTTTTTTTCCCCCCCGATTTCTCAAGTGTACCAACCTGAAAAAAATCTAATGAAAAAGTAAGTTTAATCTCAGTGTTAATATGCTGGAGTTACTTATCGCCGGTGAAATTCAACACATGTAATTGGTCTGGAAGGCTTGACTGGTAAGTGGGAACAGCCTTGGTGGAGCATTTATAATGGAATAGTCTTTCCCCGCTGGGCTGCACATCCAAATACAGCCCTCATGAGAAGACTTATTTAAATA